ATCATTTTTACACTGATGCCCTGGGGGTTAGTAATGAAAAGGGGTTACTGATCATGATGACATTTGTTGGAATGTTTTAACCTTTTCAAAATAAGTCAACACAGATGTAACATAGGTCAGAAAAGGAGAGAAATATGTGTGTGTGTATATATATATATATATATATATATATATATATATATATATATATATATATATATATTAGAATCCTGCAAATCCAGACATGATTTTCATGTGTATATTTGAATTATTTGGGTGACATGTAACTGCCTATATTTCTGAGATGAAGTATTATGTACACTATTCACATTATTTGGACTATTGTCCTCATCTTTGTTGCCATATTTATTACAACTTTTTGGCCCTTGTAAGCGCCGGCCTTCTTCAAGTGGTTAGAATGTCGAACTGAACACTTTATTTCACTCACTGGTGTAGACTGTTCTATTTCTACATGCCATGTCTAATGGATGTCAGTTATCTCCTGCTTAATTTTCTTTCCAAGTTCTTCACTGCCAATATTGACCCAAAGAGCGTGAGTTCAATACCTGGTTAAGGTGGTGGAGAACTTGGAGAGGGAATTAACATCACACAACTTATTTTTCCTTAAAATCAATTCCATTATCTTTCACTCACCATTAGCTTATTTTGTTTACTATAAAACATTGAAAATAAATGTTAAACCTGATTTCAGTTCTTTTATTTTAATCTAAATATAACCCCTGATATCTGGACTTTGTAACCAATTCCATATATTGAGGCCTTCTTAGACCGGATATCAGGGATTCTACTGTGTGTGAATATATGTAAATAAATAAATGTATATGTACCTCCAAAGATTTGCTAAAAAATGAGCATACATGAAGAAATGTTCCAAACTTAATAAAAACAAAACTTATTGCATCAACTTTTGTTATTATTGAGAGGAAAGGCCAAAAGATTTCTGGATCATTAAATTTTTTACCCTTTTCAGAAAATTTGAAATTTTGGTTAAAAATTGTGTTTTTCTTGTGTAAGCATAAAACCAAATATTAGTATCAGAAATTTTAGCATCTTTCTTTTTTTTTGGTGAAAAGGATTGATTATGAAATTCTTGAAAAAAAAAAAAAAAAAAAATTTTTTAATGACACACAAATGAATGAAATTATTTTACATATGTTTCTTTATTAGAAATCTTCATGAAAATATTTTTTTTTTTTTTTTTTTTTTTACATGTGTTACCCCCACCACTTATCTAATTTTATGAAATTTCAAGAAATTCATTTTTGTATGGCTTAATGTTTATATTAGTTATATAAGAACACCTTGGAAAATTTACATCAAATCTTTATTTTATTTTTTTTTTGTAAAACAGGTCCACAGTTACTGGAAATCTGTTCTGAATCATCAAATAGAAAATGCAATAAAACCAAGACCTTTAATTAGAAAAGTTTTAAATTGCTTTTAAGAATAAGATATATTATGGACACAATTGTCTTAAAAAAAATATTTTTGATGAATAATGAATTTTTACAAGAATTATTTTAATTAGAATAATTTATAAAGTTTTAACTCTTCTAAAATTATGTATTAATTTTTACTGATTAGGTGATATTGTTATCAAGTAAAAACTATATTTACTAAGCATAAATGAAAAAGCTTACTATAATTCAGCAATCACCCAATATTAAAAAAAAATTGAATTTGTGTGTGCATATATAAACTTGCAGATACATGACATTATCAGAAAATAAGAGCAGTAACTTTAGTAAATTCAAAGAAAAAGCATCTAAAATTCAATAAAACATATTACAGAGAATATTTTCTGAAATTTTTAAGATTACCGGGTAGTTAAGAATTATATAAAGAAGATGTACATGTTATATTTGCCAAGTAATTTTTACAAGTTATCAGGGTAGACTGTGTTTACTAGTCTTGGGTAACAACCAGTCTAAGAGAAGAGAATCTAAAATCATGGCAAAAGCAAGAGAAAATCATTTCTCTATCTTTTGCAGTCATTCACAGATAATAAATAAAAGGAATCTAAAGAAACATGACTGCTTATGTCCTGAATGGACATGGCAAGAAGAAAAAAGGAAAAAAAAAAAAAAAAAAATTTGAGGTTTCATGTTAAAACAAAAATTCCAATCTACTAATTTACAAAGTTTCAATGTAAAACTTTGTTTTTTCCTTTTTTTTATAGCATGTTTTAATACAGACTTTAAAAGTCAAAGAGATTGATTTATTAAGTGGTGATGGTAGAGTTAAGGGTTGTGTTCACTTTTTGTTGGATTATCAGTTTACTTATTTCTCAATAACAACCAATTCAAATTATCAGGTTATAGTTTAAAGCAGACAGGACACCTCCCACCCCATGTGAAAGATCTGTGCAATAGTCTTTGTTTCACATCTCCACCCCCATTTAGCCTAGTACTTATATTTGTATATATCCACTAAGTTAATACTTAAGTAAACCATGTATTGTGAGAATAACTTTTACGTCAATTGAGGTCAACGCTATATAAAACTAAATATTTGGGGCTTGCAATGAAATGAATGGATGAAGTTACAAATGTGGGATAAAATTCAGATCAGCATTTCAGTTTTCTTCATATTAACACATGTACCTGACTTCCCCTACACCATGTCACATCTTTACAAGAGTCAGATTATATGAAAAATAACGTATTGTTGCCATAACTGGGCTGGAGTTGCTCAATCCTCACTTTCCTGCCATGCATTTGTGCAGCCTTGTGGGTGTTGAATTGTTTCCCACCCTACAACTTATTCCACAGGCAAAATGTTGCTACTCTCTCACTATTTTTATGGTAGACATTCAGGCAAGCTATATTCCTTGGTTCTACCAGTTTTTACACCTTCACATCTAAGATGCACTAATGTACTTGGACTCATAGACAAACTGTTACATTGCGGAATGGACTCCCAAGAGGATGCTTCCCCGATTACTACAATCGTGGCCTCTTTAAGCCAAGCCTACATGTCTTCATAATATGCACCCCCTTGCCCGTTTCCCTGTAGGCCTTCACAACAGCCTCCATTTTGTAACATTTTTGAGTGACTCTTCTTGAGCATTGTACTGAATATTTAAAAAACAAAAAACGCACACATCATGCTTGATTAGAATGTTTTCGATTTTCCACTTTAGTATAGAATCGATATTAGTTTTATTAATATAAACTCATTTTTTAGGATAAATTTACAAACAAAAGAGAAAAACAAAACAACCATTGGAGGTACAAAGTCGTAAACCTGGAAGGAACGTATTTAAAAATGAGTAAATAAAGAGAAACATCAAAAATGACATTTTCCTCTACGTAAACAAATACAGGCTCAATAATTTTAAAAAGTGGGGGACTAACTTCCTAAAATAAAATCTTTATGCAGTATTTTTTGTTCTATTTTAAACAGTTTAAAACATTAAAAAGAGAAGGTCCGTTTCCTTACAAGGAAACAAACCTTTTGGCATTCATTGACCGAGCAGCCAGTATTATGGTCGGTTTGAAAGTTATAAAAAAAATTCTTTCGGGAAAATAGGTTCCTCATGTTCGGTAGCTGTTAGTATTCATTGTTCTTTCCAGTATTGTTGAAGGGGGGGGGGCTTTCCTAACCTTTATTTGAAGTAGTGCGGAAAGTTAAGAAGAGAGACTTAAAGTGACTAATAAAAAAAATTTCATTTTGATCTTGCATTCCAATTATGAGAATAGTAGAAGTAAGGATAAAGATGACTTAAAAAAAAAAAAAAAAAAAAAAGAAGACTTATTTTTTTAGCATTAAGTAAATAAACTTTAGTTTAAATTAGGTATTTAAAGCTTTAAATAAAGTTTATTTACTTTTTTTTTTTACACTATTTTAAAATGTAGATATGTCGTGATTTTTTTTTTAATTACGAAGCATTATTTTCTAATTTTTAGTTTCATCTTTCAAAAAAAATATCAGTAATTCATATTAATTACAGAATCTGGATAGAAACTGATAGGGAAAATAAATAAATCAATAAATTAGTAAATAATAATAAAAACGAAAATTGATAAGAGAAAAATGAAAAAGAAAACAGTCTACCATTTTAAAGACAATCTGAAACTGTAATAATTTATTTCACTATGAATATTTTTACTTAACACGCGTAAATTGTACTTAAGTACTTGTACTTATTAAAAAGGGAGGGAAAAAGAAATTTTTTTTTGAGACAGATGAGATGATTTACTTTTTCTTTTTAGTTATTCTTTACAATTTCAGGGGTGAGGCAAAATCTAAGATTTTATTTTTAAAAAAATAATAGAATAAAAAAAGCTGATCAAATTCATTTCATAAAATAAAATTACAATTTTTTTTTTTATGAGAGTTGCTTAAAATTTAAGACTAAATAATTTTTCAAAATTTAAATTTTGCCTTTTTTCGGTAGATTCATTGGTTTTACTTGAAATTTTAGTTTTTTTCCGCTTTTTATACTAAAAAAAAAAAAAAAAAAAAAAAGGTGGGGGTTCTTGATCATCTTTCTTTAAGAATTGAGAATTAATTTGCTTTAGTTATGAGGAATTATATATCAAATTTAATAACAGTAACACTAACAGACACTAACACTTTTGACAAATACCAAACATTAAATAAGAAAATAATTTTCTTATTTACATGATTCATTGTCATCGTTTGTTAAAAGTGGATCTGACAAAGTAAAATTAACCAATTATTTTCCTACTGAAAGAAAATTTAAACGTACAAAAAAAAAAAAAAAAAAAAAAAAGCGGAGTAAAAGATTCGTTGAAAATTAATTTCTTTTCCATGGAAAAAGAAAAGAAAAGAGGAATAGTTTTTAAAAAAATGATCAGAAAGGAAATTAATTTTTAACCTGAAGAAAAATAAAATTAAAATTCAGGATAACTTGAAAAAAAAAAAAATGATTTTCGTGAAAAAAACAAATAAAAATGATTATTTTTCATTTATTTTCAACTGAATGTTTGTTTTTACTTTTTAAAATCTGGAGAGAAAAAAAAAGTCATACCTACCTGGGAAAAGATAGAACTGAAAAGAAACAAAAACAAAAGGTCTATAAAAAAAATATTGAAATGACAAAATAAACATTTTAACCGAAAAAAAAAAAAATAAGAGGGGAAAAAATTCAACTTACTGTTATTATTATTATTATTTTTTTCTTTCTCACATATCCAGAGAATAAAAACTAAATTACAAGAGTGGGTCAAAACTACACTTATAATTTCGAGTATTTAAATAATATCCCCTTGTTCAATCATAAACAATCTTTTCTTACACCAAATACGGTTATTTGATTATTATTGTTGTTTTTTATGCTCACAGAAAAAAAATTATTCTTCTTTTCAGACTGGAGAATTGCAAGGGCGGCAAGACAAGTCCAAGTGAGCACTATCTGCTTCTATTGTGAACGTGCTGATGTCCAAATGATAGAAACTAACTTCCGGTAAATTTACTCGGCAATCTCCGGCACTGTTCGGAAGTGAGTCACAAGAATTATTCCCCGACCAAAATTTTTACCGGCCGGAACTAAACGAATATGCGTGTGTGTGTGTTTGTTTGTGCTTTTGTTAATTACAAATATATTTTTTCATTAATATATACACCGATATATTATTTTTTGTTATTGCTTACTATATATGCTCCTTCAAGATGTGGATGATTATGGCTCTCCAGAATTTCTTCTCTTTTGTAGCTCTTAGTAAAGTTTGTATTTTTGCTATCTGTCCTGTTCTGCCAACCATTAACACAAGCTTGTTAAGTAGTTTTACACTGCTTTCTTTCATCCCTCTCTTGACTTCAATCTGTCCTGTGAGTGTAAAATTCTCAAATTGCTCTCTTTTCTTATTATGTTCTTCAGAAATTTCAATTGTCCCTTTCTGATTCTAAGTATAAGTGTCCTTTTTGTTTCTATTTTCTCTAAAACATTCTTTGTCACTCACATGTTCAGTCCATAGTATTCACAACATCCTTCTGTAGAACAACATTTTTGTTGTTTCAAGTCTCTTCTTTATGTCTGATGAAATTATCCAGTATTCACTGCTATATAGGAGCACTGATATTATATAACAATTATTAATGAAAGGTAGACTTATAAAAAGTATAGCGCTTTCCACTGGCATGAAGTAGAAAGATTATATTGATCAATTGCTAAGTCTGTTGCTAGGAAAGTTGGTTCACTATGCCAGACAGTTTTTTTGTCAGAATTTATCTTACATATTTATAAGTCTACCATTCATCCATACATTGAATATTGCTGCCACATCTGGTTTGGAGCTTCTGTTATATATTTAGAGATTCTTGACAAAATCCAAAGAAGTATCTGCAATGTTATTAGTCTGGTATCTCAGCTTCACTCCCTTTCCTAATTCTATAATGTAGCTTCCCTGTGCTTTTTTTATAAATACTTTCATCGTAATGTTCTGATGAACTTTCCTCTTTGGTACCTAGACTTTATGAATTTATGCACATTACTAGATTGGTAGCAAGGTCTCATCTTTTTACAGTTGAAATGGCTAAATGTAACTAAGTTTTATGCTAACAATTTCTCCTGTTCCTTCAGTCTTTATCTTCAGGGTTGAAATCAACACTGGTGAGGTGTGTAGATAGGTCAGCGGTCATGCAATGAAGTCGTGTTGAACTGCCAGTTGTCAGCGAGGCATACTGTTTTTATATCTGTAGTTTTGACAACAACATTTGTGATTGGATTGTATTTAGATTTTTTCAGAGATTTCTTTTGTGGACTTAATCTGATGATCGGAGTCCCTGTACAGAAGATGACATTTTGTGTTTTGTTTTCTTAGCATTTACATCCAGCTGACATGTCTCATGAAATGTATTTGTAAATCAGAAAGAGATCTTGATTAAAAGTACTCTAACAGGGTTGATATATCATTATCTCCACTAATTTTTCTGTTGTTTTCAATCTTTAGTTTAGAAAAAGAAATTGTTGCACACTGTTAATAATATCATGAATGGCTTGTGAGATAAGATTGGTAAATGTTAGACTATGCTAAGGATACTTGCCAAGTTTTAAAGTATAATTTTTTTTTTAATCTTTAAATACAGGAAATATTTTCAGAAGGAAAATTTTGATTTTAGATTTGGGTAAAAAAGGGACTCTATCCATATCTGGCATATATAAAATTCCCAATTTCTATGTGGTATGAAGCTATGTATTTACATAGACTCATATGTATTTACATTTCATATGGAATTATTGCAACTGTTTATATAAACAGTCATAATTTCAGGAAGTATTAAGCATCGAATTTTGAAAACTTATATTTATAAGCCTGGAATTTTTTAAGGGCACAATTCCCTCCAACCCTATTGTGGGGGTGGTATAATAGATAGTGGCTTGGAATGAGAAATCAGAGAGCCGAGTTCCAATTCTTGTTAAATTCATCACATTCACTTACACACAAATAAATTAAATTGTAGGACTTGTATCTGGAAAAAAACATTTGTTATTCACAAAAAATTGTTAATGTAATATTCACATTTTTTTTAGTCATCCCCAAACAAGGTGATAAGCCATTAAGATGTGAGGGGATGACGGAATGTGAAAGAATATAGGAAAAAGGAAAACATTATTAAGTCGAGAGAACAATAAAAGAACACAATAGAAGTTAATGATTGACATTGCATTAAATTTTTTTAAGATCAAAGTTAACTGGAATGCAAGAAGTTGGAAGAGATTTCCATAAGTGAGAAATGTAAGAAAAGAAACCATTAGCATAGAACTTAGGGTTCCATCTACCAATTTCACATGATGAGACTAGCTACCAATCTTAAATTTGTAAAGTTGAGTTACCATAAATTCATCAACTCACCAAAATAATTACCATGAAAAAACATATATTATTAGGTTATTTTTACAATCCAAAATATGTTTCAGATTTAAATAATCAACAAGTGTTGATAAACTGTAAAAAAAACCCAAATCAATTGATCAAACAATCAATCAAACCTCCAACCTTACAATTCTGAATGTTTTTCTCAATCTGCATGGAAATTGTAGTAGATGAGCGCAATATTTTTTGTAGAAAAATTCCCATGAACCTATATGTTATATAAGAGTAAGTGTCATTGCCGACACTGTAGTTTGAACCTAGATTGCCAGTGAGCAATACGGGTGATTCCATTATTAAGAAGATCACATGATCATAAAGGAAGTGAATAAATAGAAAGTGGCATGATGACTATACGATCACTGTTTACTCTTCTTGTCTATCCACTATTGCTATACATTCACACTCTCTATTCTACTACTATACGGATTACGATTCTCTTCTGATCTTTATACTATTTGGCAATTACTACTTGAACAAGTATTACTAGTGTGGATATTATTGGAAGGCTTTACTACTAGTACTGGCGTCTAAGAAGTCTCTAATATAACAAGCATTTTTGGAAGGGATAACGAGCTTTTGCTTGACATAGTAAAAGTGACAAGTGAAACCGTCCAACATCACAAAACTATAGCTTTCTAGCATAAGATAAATGTTTATTTTATTTGATTTGTTCTCAGTTAGTGAGTGATATTATGGCTAAACATATTCATAAAAAAATTCTTATTCTTTTATGTGCTGTGTCCATTCAGAACATAGATTATCATGGCTCTTGACAACTTCCTACCTTTTGTTTGCCTCCTTATTATCCCTACCACTTCCTGTTCTGATATCCATTTAAACAAGGTTGTGAGGTTATTCACAGTTTCCCTCAGCAAGAGGCCTTCAGAATGTTCTGTAAGTGTCAAATTCTCCAAGCCCTCTTTCCTCATTATTTATATCAGAAATTTCAACTGTCTCTCTCTAATTCTAAGTACAAGCATTCTTTATTTCTTATTTTCCTTAAAACTTCCTTGTTATACTACCTCTGATCCCCCACTGCAAACCTGGGGGTGTAAGCCTGATTGGGGGTCCCTGGAAGTGCTTTGTGACCCTCACTATCTTATCAACATTTACTTTTTTCTACTTACATTTATATATGTTACAAGCAATGTACTATTAAAAGGAGAAAAAATTTTGCAGATTTTGACATTATTCTGGTCTCTTTTTTTGGACAAATCTGTGGATTTGTTTTGCTTAAGTTAAGTTTTAAAAAAAAAACTATATAAAATGCATTATTTTTTATCCATAATGTTGAATGCATGAAAATTATTCAACTTTTTAACAAGAAAAACCTCAAGTTGATGCTAAAAGTTGCTACAAGTCATTGTTGATTTATTTAAGATGGAATGATCTATTATGACATGTCTTTAATTTGTATTTAGATACATTGTATTTATTTACAATTCTTCTAGTTGAATGGTTCACCTATATTGCATATAATCCATTATTGTACATAATTAGGTTACAATAAAATTTTATTTTATATAAATACTACTTTATGAAAATTGAGAGGTAGTGGAGTTAGTGGGGAGGCCTGTATCATAGATTCTGAGGTGGGCACAAGACTTGCATCAACCCTGTAAAGGAGGATTGGTATAGCAGTTCAGCACTCTTTGTTTCTGTATCTGTCTATATTTCTGAGGTATTATGTACATTATTTACATTATTCAGACTATTTTCCTCATTTTTGTTGTCATATTTATTGCAACGTTTCAGCCTTTCAGTATCTGTCTATATTTCTGAGATGAGGTACTATGTACATTATTTACATTATTCGGACTATTGTCCTTATCTTTGTCGCCATATTTATTACAACGTTTCAGCCTTTCAGTATCTGTCTATATTTCTGAGATGAGGTTTTATGTACATTATTTACATTATTCAGACTGTTGTCCTCTTTGTTTCTGATGAAATTTTTTTGTTCTTTGTTTCACTTTTGGAAGATGCATTGGAATCTGAAAGGTCATGTTGAATGATTCCCTATTCCAATGTCCCTTTAGATTTCTGTGTCACATATTCTATTATATTTTATAACACTTCTCAGAGAGTCAAACTTTTATACTGGCTTCATTCTTACATCTCCAATGTGTAGCTTGCATCTTGGACTGTCCCTTTTGCTAACATTCTGCCTTCTTGATAGTTAGCCTTTTCTTCCTGATTCCTATCTAATTAAATATTTAATATAGAAAGCATATACTGATGGAATTCATCACACTTATAAATAATGGCAATATGTGTTTTGAAGCTAGTGCTAATTAGCAGAAATAAACCCAATGTCATGAAGCCCAAGGATTCATTTTCAATATTTGGTTTTGGAAGCTGATTACTGCAAACTTTTCCTAGAAGAACAACTTTTTTATTTTTAAAATGGACTTTTAAAGAAATTTTAACAAAATCCCAGAAACAACAAAAATAATATTAATATTATTTATTAACAATTTATATAAATATAAAGAGTTATCTTTGTAGTACAATAGACAGATAGAAAGCAAGGACTATACTTCTTCAGAGTGTGTGTATTGGTGCTACAGAATCACAAAGAAATGTACCAAATAAAAGAAACAACATCACTTGAAGACTTTCAACAGTGGCAACAACTAAAATGTATAGTGCATAAAACTCAAAGAGAAAATAACTTAATCAAGCTGTTGACCTTTCACAGTACTTCTAACAAAAGGTTAAGAAGGAAACCTCTATCAATATTGGAAAGAGCAACAATAGTTACAGAACTTGAGAGACCTATTTTCATGCAAAATTGTTATAATAGAAAGATTTTATAAATTTCAACCAGGCTATGGCTGATTGATAAATGCAAGCAAACTGTTTCCTTAAAAGGAAATGGTTAACATTATGATTACCAGGTCTGGGTTTAGGCCTTAAGTGGCCCCTGGGCTAATAGAATTGGTGGGCCCTTCATTACATATGTTCATTCTCCATGTCTATAAAATAAATCAAAATGAGCCCCCTTCAAAAGGCTTAGTTCAACTAAAAGGACCAAATACCTTAAATTGTTTCAAATTAGTTCAAATGAGTCCTATTATGTCTGAGAACAAACAAATCTCCTCTGTTCTTATATCTTTAGTTTCATCAGGGGCCCAAGTGTTGGGACCCCTGGGCTGAAACCTATACTAGCACTAACCATTTCCATTACTATTACCATAAGTCATTGATAATGAGTTTGATTCTCACTGTGTGCTAAAATTATTCTGTATCAGACCTTTATTAACTCAGGTAAATTGTCATAATTAATAATGTATCCATTTGATCACAATTCTAATACACACACACGTATGTATAAAAGGTTAATGTGTGAAAAAAACAAAATAAAAATAACCTGTAGAGCTTTTAACTTTAAAAATTAGGAGATCCGTTGATACCACTACCTTGGTTACAACCTTATATTATCCTCAGGTGATTTTTATCAATTGACCTCCTAACATTTTATTTTTAAAAAATCAATGAGCACAATATTATTTTTTTTTAATATTGGGTGTTAATATTTTAATATATTTTAATATATATAAATAATATAAGATATAGCCGTTTGTTGGGTCTGATGCCCGTGTTGGTTGATCAAGGTCATGGTGGTGGGTCGATTTGTGGTAGGGTGTGTTGGTTGTCAAGGTGACAAGAAATTGGTATAGCTGGTTGGCCTGTTTCTATAAAACATGATTGGGGTGACGACTTCAAAGGGAATGCCTGTAGCAAGTTAGGTATGCTGAGGTGATGGTGGATTGGTGTAGCTGGTTTCTACAAAATGATGGTAGCATGAGTGGGTTGCATGTTTGTGGAGTCAGAATCGCTGCTTGCAGAGTTGGAGTTGCTTGTTTGTAGATTCAGAGTCACTTGTTTCTGAAGTTGGAGTCACTTGGTTGCAGAGTCTGATTTGCCGGGATGATGGCATTGACAAAAAGGAAGGCTTGTAGCTGAGTGGTGTTGATGTTGAGATGTTATCAATTATGATATTGGCATCTGGGGCCTGGTGGTGTTGAAGTTGAATTGTCAACTGCTGTAGTGAGTCGGGTTTGTTGTTGAGGTGACAACATTGGTGATGAGGAAGGCTTGTAGCTGGTTGGTATTGAGGCTGGTCTCTTATTTCAGTGTGTGAAGAGTCAGGTGATTAGTCAAGACTGGAAGTGGTAACGGTCCTATTGAGAGGAGCAGTCATGACAGTGATGGGGTCAGTGCCTTGCATGTCAGCAGGTGGTAGTCCCCAGGAACATCTCTTTTTTGGCATGAACATTTGTGATTAGCCAGTGTCACTTTCATTGCAGGGGCTTGCTTCAGTAACTGTATGTGATGCTCAGAGCCTATGTGCAGAAAACAACTTTTTTTATTTTGTTTCCTGCCTTCATAGCATTCACATCCAGCTAGCATGCAGAATGAATCAAAAAGAGATCTAACTGCAGTGGAGTATAATATTGTGTTATTGTTCAACCATCTCAGTCATTTTCAAGAACCAATGTGATGTTTGTACAATACTTGTTGCCTAAATATACTGTACCTTATATATATATATATATATATATATATATATATATATATATATATATATATATATATTGTGTGCGTGTGTGTGTGTTTCATGGAAAAAGACAGAAACATGAGACGGTGGAAGGTGGTTCAACCAGGCACACAAGTATAATTTTCTGAATTATCTATTTTATAGTTGATTTGAATTTTTATCCTTCATCACAGGTTGGTGGAGTATATTACTAAACATTGTGGAAAAGTACATTATTCGGACTATTGTCCTCATCTTTGTCGCCATATTTATTACAACATTTTGGCCATTGTATGCTCCGACCTTCTTCAGGTGGTTAGAATATGGAACTGAACCCTTTATTTTGTTCACTGGAGTAGACTGTTCTAGTTCCACATGCCATGATTAATGGATGTCAGTTATCAGTTATCTCCTGTTAATTCTCCACTGCCTTAACCGGGTATTGAGCTCACACTCTTTGGGTCCTGTCACTGGATCTAACTAATACCTTTATCCACTGTGCCATGTGTCCTTGAGGACACCTGTGTATGAATTTCTGGGTATTATATTAGAAATATAGACAGATATTGTGGAAAAGCTAATTAATTAATATCAGCTGAAAAGTGGTTCTTGAGTGTAAGAATCGACCTTTTCAGTACTCGGAATATTATTTAAAAAGAACATGATATTTTGCTACACCGGTTGGTCGTACAATAAGGCCGCGTTAAATCGAAAAGATGGCAGAAATGAATGGAATGGTGGTATATCAGCGTGGTCAGGTAGTTATAACAATTAAATATGTTTGTAGATGAAGTTTATTTTAGTTTTTATTTTACTATGTTTATGGACAAATAACAAGCAGTAGACAAGAGACATTTTTAACAACATGCTTTTCAATAACTTTTCATGTTTACATTACAATAACTTTTTTTTATTTTTAATTTCATTTTAACTGTCTACATTGACAAATGGAGTTCTGAGTCTCTTTTTCTTTTCTTTTTTTTTTTTTTTAAAAATATCTTCCACATTAAAAAAACAAACTGGTATATTTTTTAAAAAGAGATGTGACAGAAACGAAATATTGATTTGTTCATAAAGTTTAGCTTCGTCTGGCACATGGCAAAATGAAGAAAATAAGGAAAAGTAAAAAGATGATTCTGATGTTGCGACAGACATTATTCAAGTGTGGAAAACTTGCTTCAACATTTCTAATTTGAAAAACAAAGTAGCAAAAATAAATTCTTTACCCGATGTTTTAACTTTTTTAATTCGTCCCTCTATTGAATTCTCAAATAAAGATTGACTGCTTGGTCAAACAAATAAGCATATTGTATTGTCAATACCAAAAAAAAAGTTATTCCTTTTTTTAAGTACCTCACTCACACAATAATAGGAAGTATAGAATATCCAGTATAGGATCGAACTCAGTAATTTGTGAGACTACCTCGTTAACTATTACCCATGGCAAGGAATCAAATATTTATTTGTTGGCGAATGTTTTGATTTCTACAAACTACGAAGTTCTCTTCAGCGTTCCTCAACATAAAAGTTAAAAAAAACATCTTTACAAAAAAAGACTTCATAAATTGGTTCTAAGGTTTTATTTAAAAATTTTTCAAAGCTATCTTTTTCAATCACACACATTTAATGTTAAGAAAATAATAAGTAATTGATATTCTGAGTATTATTATTCGTTTTTTTTTTTGTTTTTTCTAAACAACACATGAAGAAAAATTAATCTTTAAATTTTTCATTTTATTTTTATAAAGATTTTCATAAAATGTTGCACTTTTTTATGGGTATAAAATTAATTTAAAATAAAATATTTTAAATTTAAGTTATTTTCTTTTATTTCCATCATAAAAGTTAACAGGAGTCTCCTAAGAATAGAATGTGAAAAATGCCACCTCCCCGCCAAAATATCAGTAAAAATATCTTGAGATTTAAAGAAAAGGATCTATGAATATAAGCCATAAGGTTGCCTCTCTGTGTCTTTTATCAGCAAAAATGTAATGTTAATCGTCATCTACTGTCCTGATTACCCTTTCCTCTTCCCACTCATTATTAATATTTCTGTTCCTCATTCTTCTACACCCTGTAAGCCCTTTTGTCTTAGTGGCTTTACTGCTTGGCATGGGGTGATACAAATTTTTAAACAAAATAAATAAAAGGAATTTAATATTCAAAGTGCTAGTTTGCCACCTTTGTGATCCCAAGTTTAACATGGAAAATGTTGTTTTAATAAAAAGTGAAATATAAATCATTGAGATGATCTCTGAGTCTCTTTTAATATACAACCTATTTCATTTTATCCCCTGTTCTTACTAAATTAGTACAACATATTGGGATATATAAACACTAAAATAAATGACCATATATATAAATAAAAAACAGTGTTGAAATTAGTAAAAACTTATAATTTTTATAATAATTTATGTGCTGTGTGCCTTATGATCATGACTCTCCACAATTTCCTGTCCTTCATAGCTTTTAATAAATTTTGTCTTTTTCTTATCTCTCCTAAACCTTGTTCAGGCATCCATTTACTCAAGCTCTCTAGGTAGGTTATGTGTTGTTTTTCTCTATAACCTCTTGCCTCCAATCTGTCCTGTGAGTATCAAATTTTCCTAGCCCTCTTTTCTCATGTGCCCTAGAAATTTCAACTGTCTCTTCTTGAAGTTAAATATGTGTCCTTTTCGTTTCCATTTTCTGCTTACATGTTCAGTCCATGATATTCTCAGTAACCTTTTGTAGAACCACATTTCTGTTGCTTCAAGTCTCTTCTTTATCTTTGAGGAGATTGTCCTGCATTCACTGCTACAATTAAAATTAAAATGAAGCTTTCATATGCTTAGTGTGAATTATGTTTTTTTCTCACTCATGTTGATATTGTTTTTGTCAAATAAAATTAATTTTCTGCTGCTGCTTAATCGCTGAAACATGTTAAAGTAAAAAAAAAATTCCAAATTGTCTTATATTTTTACCATTTGCAGTCATGAATATGTATTAATATATTTTGTTTCCATTTTAGAATTAGTTTCTAAACTAACACATTTTAAATTCTAACATTCAGTTTCACACTAAACCTCAAAGTTAATGCAATATTACATCTACTTCATTGTGTTATTTCTCATAAAATCCACTTATTCTTATTTTAGGAGGCAGCTGATTCTGATGTTTGGGATGATTCTGCTTTGATTAAAGCTTATAACAGTGCAATTAATCTTAAAAAGGTAGGTGGATGTATTTCCCCAATAAGACACTGAAGGCAGCATAAAAGCCCAATAAAAGCCTATCGGTAAAAGAAAAAAATTCCAGAAACTAAATTTTTGAAATTAGAGTATCTATATTGTAAATGAATTGAATTCCTTCTGTAAACACAAGGCAAAAGCTATTAATTTTCAAAAAAATATGGGGATGCATGTGACTTTAAAAAGATTCTTAGTCTGATTAAAAATTTCTTCAAAAAAAAAAAAAAAAATCTGATGTTTAGTCATAAGGAGTGTTTAACAATGGTTCATTTTGTTTTTCACAGGGATTCTTCCACTCTACATTATTGTAAACACACTATTTTTCATGGTCTGGGATAGTTCTAAAGAAATGTGGCATTTTGTTGCATTTGAGCAGATGATTGTAGATGGAAATGGGATCCATTAAATTTTTTTCCATTAAGTCGTGAGGTTCCCAAATATAATGATTCGCATATCCAAGTGTTTTCAAATGCCTTACAACACTAATATATATGAACATCTGTAATATGTAGGTACCTCCACTTTTTCAACAGCATAGTGTGATTTTGAAAAAGGCCCTAAACTTAACAAAAACAAAGTTTTGTCGTCAAAATGTTTGATATTATTAAGAGGAAACTCCAAAGTATTTTTTGAAAATTTTTTTTGAAATTTTTTTAATCTTTTCTAGCACATTCAAAATTTTGGTTAAAAATCTTGTTTTGTTTACATCAATGGTTGACTTAAGAATTACAATTAGTGTTTTTGAGCTTTTCTTTTGGTGAAAAATACATTGCTTTGGAAATTCTTGCAAAAATCAAATAATAGTCAGATTTTAATGAAACTTTCAGGACATATTCACAAATGAATGAAATTATTTTTGAAATTTTTTTTTTTTTTTTTTTTGAAAATCTTGGTAAAAAAAATTTTTTTTTTTTTTACATGTTATCCCCAACATACTTAATTTCATGAAATTTTGAGAAATTAAATTTAAAGGGGAAAATCTGTTTTATTAGTTAAATGCAAGACTCCTTGGAGAATTTAAATCATCAGTCTTTTATTGTAAAACAGTTAACCCAGTCACAGAAAATCTTCTCTGAATCGTAAAATAAAAAATAAAACAATGACATTATTTAATAAGAAAAGCTTTTAATTACATTTACAAATAAGATTTATTAAGGACACTATTGTCTTAAGAAGAAAGTTTTTTTCAATGAATAATGAATTTTTATAAGAATTGTTTTCATTTTTTTAAAAATTTTAATTCAATAATTTAAATTGATTAAAATTCTACATCAAGGAGGTTATTAAGTGAAAACTACATTTGCAAATCAAAAATTGAAAAGCTCATTAAAAGTTGTTTTAACCCAATATTTAAAAAAAAATTTTTGAATTTTTTTTTATGTATACATAACATGCTGCTGTTTGAAAGTATAGTTACCATACACAACATAATCAGAAAATAAGAGTACTGACTATAGTAAATTTAAATTCAACGTTCCTAAAATTAGATTACAAAAGAACATTTTCCAACATTTTTAAGATTACTGTGTACTTAAAAATTATATACAAAAGCGTTCACATGTCATTTTCTTAAATTATGTTTTAACAGATAAGGTCTCCTTAGAACAATAATAAGTGTCAGCACCTTTGTAAGTGATTTATGAAGTTTTGACAAGCTCTTAATCGTACTACTGTTTGTTTTAAAAATCCATTTCTGTGATTTTAAACTTAAAGTACATAATATTTTTTTTTAAATCAGTTTAATTAAACTTTAAATCAGCTTATATCTCACAGATAAAGTTTCAGAAAAATATATTTTATTTTTGGAAGATTTTTAAAACCGAGAATTAAAATTAAATTTTGTTTACGAATCTGTCAAAAATGCCTGAATTTAAATGATTTCTGGAAGTGAGCAAAAAGTTGAGATTCTGGTCAATATAATTTCTATTTGAAATACATCAGAGTAATTTTGCTTACTGGAAATAGTAAATATCATTTAGCTTTCAATTAAAGCTAAAAAGAAAGCTTCAAGAATGATTTTTCATTGTTAAAATTTCATTTTAAACCAAGATATTGAAACTGGATGGAGGTACCTAGTAATATGAGATATGTGGAATATCTGTAATAACCTGTGTCATGTGACCTAGATTATTTTTAATTGATGTTTCAATTCAATCATCATCAATGATTGCAGGCCTGCTAGAACATTCTTAGACTTCTATATCAAAATTTCTGTTTCTGTACCTAACAAACGAATTACAAACAGTATTGGCAGCTATGGCACCATCTCTATAAATGGCATACAATTGTTTTGCTCTTTGTACAGCAGTTTTTCATTTTCTTTTCTGGAAATGAAAAGACTTTGAACAACAAAATTGCATCTTGTAAAAACATTTAAAATTCACAATCCACACATAAATTGTACAGACAGACATTTTGAAATTTCAAAATATGTATATATGTTGTGAAATGAAATCATGTGTTCAAATGCCATCTATTGAAAAATTTAACAAAATTTTATTCCAACACAATAGATATTGGCCATTTGGCACATTCTTAATTTTTAAAGTCAGAATTGTAGTGTATAGAAAACTTGAATTCTACTTTTAGACTCAGGTTGAAGACAAAGAAGAGTCTGGACAAAGCCAATCTTCAGAATTCTGTAAACCTTTGCCACAGAAGAAAAAACACAGGAGACAAAAAAAGAACAAAAATAAATCAAAGGTATGTGTTGTTTTTTTTTTCTCTGTGTCTAAAATAAATATCTTAAGTAAATTCAGTATTAATCTTTTAGATGAGGAATTCTCATTATTATCCTCATCTTGGTTGCTATACTCACTACATTTTGGCAGTTGTGCCATTCAGCCTTCTTTCATCATTTATAATGGAATTTTGGGAATCATGAATTATCCAATATTTCTATCTGAAGCAGCCTGCTCATCTTAGTTGTTATACAAACAACATTTTGACTATTCTGCAGTTGTTTGTTGTCGTACTTAGTAACCTTCCTGTAAATTTGAACTAAACCCTTTATTCAATCCATGGAAGTAAATTCTTATTTTACTTTCCCTGCTTCAGACAGTCAATTATGTGCCATGTGTGATACACACTTAGGCAATCATGTATATTTTTTTTCTGCAGTAGACCAGTTGCCATCCAATGCTATAGAACCCAGTCTGTCCTGCTATTTACCCATAGCTGGGGAGTGGGGAGAAGAGGAGAATACATACCTTTCCCAAGGGTATTAGTGTGAAAGTAAATGTTTCCATGCTTAGGTGGAGATAACTCATATCAGTTAATGCTCACCTGTCATATTCACCTTTGTTGCTTGTCCATTTCTTCCTCAGCAGTGTTGAGTTCAGTCCCTGAGTCTGGTAGTGCTGAAAAGTCATATACACTGGTTCAATGGAAGAAACAGACAAGTGACATAATAGTGAATACGACTGGTGAGTATTAACTGATATCTCACATGCATAGAAAGTCGAATAAAAGTATTTGATTCAAAATTCCAAGAAGGTTATCAAGTATGACAACAGATACCTGAAGAGGCCAGAGGGTACAACTGCCGAAACATGAGTATAACAATCAAGATGAATATGCTAGTCCAAATAGTTAGGCATATGATTATACTAAAAGTTGATTTTTTTTATTTAGTTATTTTATTTTATGTTTTCTTTTTCAGCAATGGCATGCTGGGGATGAATGTCAAGCAATCTTTACAGAAGATGGTTTAATTTATGATGCTTCTATCATTTCCATAAACTACTCAGAGGGAACATGTGTTGTTCGATACATAGGTTATGGCAATGAAGAAGAACAGATTCTCAGTGACTTGATACCACTTGCACCCAAGGCTTCAAACTCTGATACTAAAGTGAGTATTAATTTTTTTTTTTTTTTATTATTTCACCCCAAACAAGACAATAGAGCCACTAAGATGCAAGGTATTACTGAGTGTAAAAGAATATGAGAAAAAAAAAAACACTATTAAAGAGAGAGAACAATAAAAGAACAGGAATTAAGACAGAAGATAATGGTTTACATTGCATTTAGATTTTTGAAGATCAAAGTTGAATTGAAAGCAAAAACCAGAAGAGAGTTCTTCTACAAGTGAGAAGTGTGAGAGAAGAAGCTGTTAGCATAGAACTTATGGTTACATCTAAGCATTTCAACTGTAAAATGATGAGACCTTGCTGCCAATCTAGCACTGAGCTTAAAGTTCATAAGAGTCAAGGTACCATAGAGGAAAGTTCATCAGAACATTTACCGTGAAAATATTTATAAAAAAGGCAAGGCAAGCTACATTATGGTGGTGGGAAAGTGACTGAAGTGAAGATGCCAGATCAGGATCAATAACATTGCAAATTCTTCTTTGGATTTTATCAACTATGCTGTTGATTATTATTTAAAAAAAAAAAAAAATGCAAGTTTCTTTGATAGGACAGTTGGGTCACTTCTATGTCAGCAATTTTATGCGAATTGGATCCAAAGCCATCAATTGTTTCAGAAACTGAACAAATAAAAATATTCTGAAAACTTGGACTTTTTTTGCCTGCCAAAAAATGAGATGTCAAAAGGACAGTTTTTTTCCTCGACACCACTATTATTTTAACTACCTTCTTGGCAATGTTTATCGTTTTAAAAAGCAATGATTAGAATTGTAATAAAACCTAAACATATGATGAAAGTGAATTTATACATTTTCTTTCTTTTTGAGAATTAACAACAAAAATAATAAACACTATTGTTTATTGGAATGGTTGGCAAAATAGTAGGCATCTATGCAGATGAAACTATTATTTACTCCTGCCTCAATAGCAAATCCAGTATCGCTGACAAAACTAATCTGGCCATTGGTCTCGAAAAGGACTTCCAATATGTTGTTGACTGGAGCAAGAAATGGTTGGTTAACTTTAATGCCTCAAAAACAAAACTGCTCTCTATTACCCACCACTGTGAACCCTCCCTGCTTCCCATTAGATTGTCAGATGCTCAACTCCACGAGAACAACTTGAGATGGAACAAATACATTGAATCAATAGCTTCATCTACCGCAAGGAAAATTGGTTCTGTGTCGTACCAGAAAGTTTTTCTTGCCTGAGTTTATTCTTCAAATCTATAAATCAACCATTCACCCTTGCTTAGAATACTGCTGCTGGAGCCCTCGTTGTTCATCTTAAGGTCCTCGGCAAAAACCAGAGGTGGATATGCAATGCGATTGCCCTGATCTGGCATCTTTACAGTCGCTCTCTCACAGACATGCTATTACATCCCTCTGTCTTTTCTACAAATACTTTCATGGTAACTGCTCCAATGAGCTACTTTCGCTAGTTCCCAAACTGCATGAATTAAAAGTGCTACTAGGTTTGCGTCTCATTCCCACCCTTTCACTGCCAAAATGGTTAAATGTAATCATCTCTCTTACTCAAATAGCTTCATGTCTTGCACTTTCTGTCTGTGGAACTCCCTTCCTCTTACTTGCTTCCCTCATAGCTATAATCTCCAACTATTCAAATGCAATGTCAATCAACATCTCCAAATACCTTGATCTATTCCTTGTCCTTCTCTTTATGCTTTCCTCTATCACGCCTCTTTACTCTCACTCCCACTCTCTGTAACTTCTTGCTTGGAGTGAAAAGCTTTAAAAAAAAAAGATCAGCTAATTGCCAATTGATTTGAATTTTATGAAATTGTAAATAATAAAGATTTCCTTATAGTTTATTATTATTTATAAATTTGTGAATCAAAAAATTGTTTTCATATTTATTTCTTTATAAATTGGTAAATGATAAATATTGCATTGCATTAGTTTTAATACAATTGTATTAGTTTTTAGAATATTGTAAATATAAAATTATTCTTGTAAATAGTGTTTTTGCTGTAAATTCTCAAGAACAAAAAAATGTATAAATTCACTTTCATCATATGTTTAGGGTTTTATTACAATTCTAATCATTGCTTTTTAAAAAAATAATAAACATTGCTGAGGAGTGAAGTTAGTTAAAATATTGGCGGTGTCAAGGGAAAAACCATCCTTTTGACAGTTTTTTTTTTTTTTTTTTTTTTTTTCATGAAGGTCCAAGTTTGCCAGATATTCAATATATTATGCACAACACTTAAAATCATTTTCAGATCATTAAAACTACCAATTACTCTTTGTGCAGAAAATCAAAATAACTTAAAATTTAAGAGTAGAAATATCTCCATTTTGTACATTTTCTGTTAAGTAAACATTCTTTATTTATGATGAGTTAGAAACCATTGTCAAAATGCAAAATAAATAACCTGAACAAAATTAATCAAGTTTGCAGTGAAAAGAAAAAAGTGGGGAAAAATAAAGATGAAACAGTAACAATCATGCAAGCAAGCAAAGAATATAGTTAAAGCAAATCAAACAGGTAAGAAAGCAAAAGAATTCACAAACTATGAGTTGGTGTTTGTACACAAAAGCAGACAAGTGAATGCAGTAGGTCTGTCTAGTAGTTAAGGCACATCTGGACTGAGGTTATTTACTTCACTTCCCCACAAGGCAGGATGTGGCACAAGTCCATTTTTTATGTGGGGAAGAATCTGAGCCTGTAGGCTTGGGCAAAAATTCCCCATAGACCCTGCATACATGGGGTCAGGCTTGTCTACCTTCCCAGATGTGACTCTGTCCTTTGGCATAACCTTATCTGGGTTCCTCTCTGCCTTCAGGCAGAGAGTCCGACAAATCAATCCGAACTGCCTGAATCGGCAGATCTGGACTGAGTCACATCAAAATGTAAGCTGTCCCATTTTATTGGCTAAGAAAAATATCCCAGCATGCATCTCATGTATTTCTGACTATAAGAGGGGGAGGGGTAAAATTCTTGCAACCATTCCTATGTGTTTTGGGAGATCAACAATTTACATTCAGACTAATGTTCTTGTCTTTGTTATTATCATGATGTTTCAGCCATTGTGCCATCTGACCTTCTTTAAGTGTCTATCAGTCTGGGTAACCTTCAAAGAATTTTGAAATGAACCCTTTATTTAATCTACAGGAGTAGAGAGTTCTTGTTCCACTGTCCATGTTCTTTTAAATGAAGTGGTTTTAGCTTATTGTTTACTTATTAATGTTTTAGGCAAGTCAAAAAGGCAAATTCATCTCCAAAAACAAAATGAAAGATTTTTAACCCTTTGAAAAAGATTTAGTTGGAGGACATTTTTAAATACCAAGCAATTGCACGAAGAAGACAGTAAATCACTATTTTTCTTTTCCTATACTTGAAGTTATACTTTAAGCTTGTTATATTTTTGGTTTCTAAAAGTTATTCTGCATCTTTCAAACTGTTTTAACCCTTTAGCATTCACATAAATTTACCAGTCTTTTGTGGCACTAGTTTCTCCACCTTTATCATTTCCTACTTATTATTTGACCTGATCACTTTTACTTACCTTGTTGGTAATTTTAATGAATACTATCTCACCTTTGTTGCCACTGTTGTATTTCAATGTTGTTTTATTAGGAGTGTAAAGGTCTTTTACCTTGTTGAACAATTGTAGTCATGCATCACCAATATGAAATATCACTTCATGATAAATTTCCTGGATTCTTGGTAAGTGTCATAGATTACTCTTGTAAGAACCATCTTCCCTGAGAACTATTATCTAAGAACACAACCCATTGTTTCTAGGTTTCTTTTTATACTAGTGTACACATGCTGTCAAAATGATGGCAATTGTTAGATTTTTTATAGTGAGAGGCAATGAAACAAAAATCTTGAAACAATGTATTGAGATTCAATAAAGTAGAGATAAAGAATTCACAACTAAAATAGAGGCCAATGAACTGTTTAATTGATTTGTTCCCTTTATATTTTTTAGATGTTCAGTGGTATCTATGATTCATTGATTACACCTGGTATTATAGAAATCACTTTTTGCTCAATATCTTTTCATGTTAAAGTTTTGTGTGTTTAATATAACAGTGAAATGGAAATATCTCTTGGAAGAAAGATTAGCAACAGAATAACAAAGATGGTGACAACGAAGCCTATTTCAAGAGCAAATTGAAGAAAGACAATCACTTAATAAGCAAAGGTCTCTGAGTGCTTCACATGAAAGGCTTAAACAAATAAGACTGCAGTCTAAGAAACATAGGAGTAAAGGAACTGATTAATTAAATGATTAGTTTTTCTCATAAACTAATTTTGTCTAAATGCAGATAAATATTTTATTTGAATAGACTAAAACTACTAAGGGAAGTAATACCTCATAAATTTACTAAGTTGATTTATTTCCCTTCCCACTACAGATGGGCCAGAAAATATATAAATAAATACATATCGATATTTATTATATGGTTTGATTGATGATTGCCCTTTCAGTCACCTCCCATGATTGTTACAGGAACATTTCATTGAGCAAGGGAGCGATACTCAACATTCTGCAAAATAAATATCCAGTATTTTTTACACACACACACACACACACACACACACACAACATTGATTCTTGTAATTTTATTCATTATTACCATTAAAAAAAATTGTTAAAACTTACAAGTATTCCATCATCATTATTTTTGAGTCTGTTGGACAAAAGTTATTTGATGGTTAGCAAAAACGGGACATTGATTTTGGGTCTGTAATTTTCATTAGCTTGATTATTTTATGATAGAAATTCATGTAGCCTTTTGAAAGGTACATAACCCACCATGCATCTTTTTCACTATACTTTTTTTATTTTTTTTTATTTCCCTTCGGTTACAATGATCAAGTAACAAGTAATTAGCTCACAAGTGCCAATGGCATTTATGGATTCTCAGCTTTTGTTATTCATCATTTAGAGAATTATTAATATCTAAACAAAATTCTATGAATGTATGTTTGTGCCAAAAATTGGTGTTTATGTAGTTTGGCTATTTATAGATATGATATCATGCTCTTACCAAATCTAACATATTGTTTGAAAAAAAGAAAAATCAAACATTGACATTTTTTTTTTATTTACATTTTCATTTTCTTCAGATGGATAGCAGTGAGTGCGGAAGCAATTATACATCCCCCCAATCCTATTCTCACCATAAGAAACATTCATCAAAGCATTCAAAGCCATCCAGAAGACAAGCCAAGTTTGATCCAAGTGCTCAACCTTGGATGCCTCCATTTCCTGGTGCACCTGTAAGTAGCTATTAAACTTTGTTACTAATTCCTCAAATTGTTATACTCGAAGAATGATGTCAAAAACAAGATTCTGCTCTTTTGTACCAAAGTGCCGACTGGAATAGTGATGCCAGTGGTAATCTTTCAACTTCTAAAATTAGCATGTCGATTCAAATAAGCATGCCGCAGGAAATTCTTTGATTTCTGAAAGCAATAATCGTGTCATGGAGACAATTATTTGAAGAAATAAGCATACCGTACCAAATAAGCACTGTTTGGTCTGAAAAAAAAAAAATAATAATGCTGGAAATTGTATTCAGCAAACCTGATTCTACTTGATTTTGGGCTTCCTCCTAAATAATCTGTTTGGTCAGGTTCAAGGGAGATAAATTCAGGATGTAATTTAAATTTTATAGTTTAATACTTTGCATAAACAAAAATGAATTATCCGATGTAGTTTGTACTTTTTTTTTTTTTTTTAACAATAATGTTCACCCTGTACAAGGCTCAAGAGCAATTCGAGGTAGAGGTTTACAGAGTAAAAGGCACTACCCCAAACGAGATGATAATGCAAGTAATCACTAGAAGTGAAAGAGAAGGAAATGTTTTAGAAGGAATCCTAAACAAGATACAAGGGATAAACCTCTACTCTTGTTCAAAAGACTGGGGAGGAGTATGAACCCGACGACAGACAAAGCATGTAATGGTTGCAGTGGATTAAGTTAAGCAATTTTACATATTAAAGAAAATCATTTAAAACAACTGCTTTTTATATATATATATATATATATATATATATATATATTAGTGTTTTCACTTATGCCACTATTATAATTATAACCATTGTTTAGCTGAGTGTATGATTATTTTTTCTTCATAAGGAGACTTGTGACTTTTTTCAGTGTAAAGCTTTCAAATAGGATTTGTCAAACTGAGCTTTACATATATGAAAGCCTCTGATAAAGTAATTTTTCTAAAAAAAGATTTTATATATGCATCTAATTAAGCAACTGGATATTTTAATGTTTTATAGGGGATATATGAATTTTGAATTTTACATTTTATGCTTATAATATAGTTTGGAGTTTACTCAAATATTTACCAAAATGTAAACATACTATTATTTATAACACAATATATTTTTTGTAATCAATAATAATGAAAGTGCTGTTAAACAATTTGTGACCCAATTAGATATCAGAATGATAGATTTATATTCACTTTGAACCATGAATTTGGTCAATTTTAACAAAATCTTTGTTATATTTTCATATTTTATTGACATATAAACATAAGTGATTGTATTTCTGGTAAAGATCCAATTAATAGTGTGAAATGCTGTTCACTATGAAATATATATGAGTGGTAATAAATTTTTTGACATCTGTATAAATACACTATTTTGAAATGGAATTACAGTTAATTATTACTAAAAAGCAGAGCAACAAAGCAATAAAAATCACTCTTGCAAATCAGCATCTAGTACAGAAAATAATAGAAATCAATATGAAAAAGACTTACATGCTGATTTATGAGAGTAAAAATAAAAAAAAAGGCTAAAAAAATTAAAATAGCAAATCTGATCTTGACTTGTTTACTGCATTTTATATAACAAAGTTTTGAAAAATAATTTTTCTTCCATTTTAGAATTTTTTCAATGGAATGAATTCCTTCCCATGGAATAACATGCCACCTTCAACATCTCCTATGGTAAGTTCTGCCCCCCCCACCTCTCTCTGTTCAGCTGAAGTCAGTGCCTATCTAAGTGTGTATACTGAAGTATTAACATCTGGACTGACTTCTAAAAGCTCTAAATGAGAACGTTGTTTGATCAAGTTTATTTAACAGGAAATAAGCTGACACTAAAACCAAAATTTGAGTCAGAAAAAATAAGGACAGTCAGTTCACTGATGTCTATTCTACAAATTAGATTATATTGTTCCATTTAGAACTCAACTTGATATAAAATTAAAAGCAATCATAAAGGCAGGATGTATGTCAACATTTTAGCCTCAAGCTAAATTTTCTCCAAATCAGAGATTCACTTGTATAAAATATAGATAATGACAATTTTTAGCTAAAAATTTGGCAATTGTTTTGTGTACTGTTTTTTGGTTGTTTATTTATGGTGTGATCAATTTGTCATGTCAATTGCCTGAAGAGTTGCTTAATTGTTCTGGTTGAATTGACTTGTATTATTTTGTATGGTCTCCTTTACATTAATTTCCTCATCTTTTGATGCCCCCCCCCCCCACTATGTTTCAGCCATGTACCTTCTGATCTTCCTTGGGCTTCTGTTATTTCAAAATGTTGTCTAAATGTATTTGTGGGAGAGACACATGCACAACCCTGCAATCCAAATATCATGTCTGAAATTCTTTTGTATCCCTCTTTTCCTGGGGTTATCCTCCCCAACCTGTGCGCTGATCTCATGATCACTTTCATTTTTAAAGTATCTGTGATTATGGGTAATGATGGTCATGCTGCTCTACTACTTCTTGCAGAACTTCAGAGTCAATGCCAACACCTACATCATCTGGTAGAACAGCATTTTGATGTATACCTTGAAATACCATTCAAGCCCCTAATTTTGTCAATACATGATATAAAACACCTAATATAAATTTTCCAGATCTCAGCAAGCATTAACTGAACTAGAAATGGTTAAAGAGCTTTTAATATTTTTAATTAAAAAATAAATACTTTTAAAAAAATAAATATTAAAATAAAGTATTTAAAATAATATAATTGAAGAATAGTGAAAAGTATTATTTGAAAAAAAGTTTATTACTTATTCATTTATTCAAATACTAATACTGTATCATTACTACTTCCACACACACACATATATATGAATGCTGTGACTATATTTCATGGCTCACTTAAGAGGATCGGATGGCACATTAGTGTACCACTAAATGGCAATTGAGAATTTCTGCTCTAGTTGATCACATGGCTAGTGTTAATGCAATGTCTTGAAACACATTGCTATCCCAATTGCAGATGCATTCAGACACTCCTGGGCTGTAAGCATGTGAAACTTGCAGGTGCATTTTAGCACTTCTGGCCTTAAAAGTTTAGTAGAAAAATAACTTTTGATTGATATTTGCATTTTTCTTGAAGGCCTTTTACCAGGGTGAATTTTGCTAAAACTTCTTAATACCCTTAAATAATGACTATTAAGCCCATAAATCAGATATACAATGAAAATTTCAGATCAAAATTCAGCTATGTATTGATTGACTTCTAACTTAGTTCTGTTCAATCCATAGAAATTTTGTGCTGATTTTAGCCACATTATCCTACAAATACTTAGGCTAATGTCTTTGTTTTGATCATTATTGACACAATATTTTGTCCATCTGACATTTATGTGTCTTTCATAGTTGGTAATTTCCTGGAAGTTTTGAACCAAACCATTCACGCTACAGCATTAAGTTGTTCTACTGGCCATGATAAATTCCTGTTGGTGTGTAAGTTGAGCAATAAACCTGCAATGATAGACAATCCCATCCTCTACAGTTAATGTGTTCATATCAGAAATACATTAAAAAAAAACAAAATCACACATGGATTTTATTTATTTCAATTTTTTTTTTTTTTTACACAAATAAATCTGAAAAATATTAAGGGTTATCTTTCAAGATCTTGTGTTAGAAATGCATAAAAATTAATTTTTTTAACCCCAAAATCCAATTTATTTCTCACGATTAAAAACATGTATATATAAAATACACATATACCTACATTTGTAGTGCTTAAAGTTTACCAATTCATCAAGCAAGTTTGGAAATTGAACCACTTATTACAGTGGATTTAAAAAAATACTGGGTCTCATGGGAGGAATGCTGAATTATACACAGATTCAAAACCAAAGTTAACATAACCCAATATATTATTGGAGTGTAAATTCAAAATATAGAGTGTATGGAAGGTGATTTGGGGGGATGGGGGAATGATGCAAGCTTAAAGTTTATATAGTATATGTTTATCCATTTGTGGGGGGTAGGCAAGTTAATTTATAAAGTGTAAGGAGCAAGGAATATGATTAAAAATGAGGGGATACACGCAGCAGATTGTACATTGTTTATAAATAATCTCTGTTTCAAGGGAATAGTACTGCACAGTATATAAAGCTAATGTTTAATAATATTAGGATATAAATTAAAAAAAAATAAAAAGTGTAGATGGACAGAGAAGGTAAAAGGTGAGAAAAAATGTATATTTAAAGAAAAGAGGAACACCGTGTAACCCATTGCATATTAATAAATGCTTAAATGGTAAAGAGAAGAGGTAATAAGTATTGAATATATATAATCACTTTAAATGTTATTTTAGTAGATACCCTTATCTGAGTAGACATGATAAATGAAATATAATAAATAAAAACGCCATTACTTCTTTTTATATATTTATTTTCAAAATCTCAATTAAAATAGTAGTTTATATTGCAGGAGATAAAGTGTCTAAATTAATGCTTTAAAGCATTTTTTTTTTTTTTTTGTTGTTAAATTACAAGGAAATATTTGAATGCCCCTTGTATCTATTTAAATAAAATCATTTTACAAGTTCAATATATGTTAATCCATAAACAAGGTGAATATGAATTAACTGCTGTTATTTTTACATATAACATTAATACTTTTCCGTTTGCTATACATGGATGACATTTTAGTGTTAGGTACCTCCACTTTTTTGCTGAAAAAAACAGCATAGCATGATGAAAAAAAGGCCCCAAACTTAATAAAATCCAAGTTTTACCATCAAGACGTATTTTTTGGCTGTTCTATTAAATTTTTTTAATCCTTTCAAGCACATTCGAAATTTTGGTTAAAAATCTTTTCCTTTTGTCAGCAGTGTAACAAAGCTATGAAAATTTTAGCGTCTTTTTCTGATAAATCAGAGTAATTTGGAAATTCTTGCAAAAATCAAATAATTGTCAGATTTTAATAAAATTTTCAGGACTTATTCATGAATGAATTAAATTATTTTTTTAAACTTATATTTTTTGCTAAAAGTATTTTTTTTTTTTTTTTTTTTTTTTTAATTGTAATAATTTATAAAGTTTCAAAATTCTTTTATAAATTCTTCAAAACTTTAATTGCATTAGGTTAAGTGAAAACTATATTTATTAATCAATTTTTTTTTTTATGTGTACAAATGTTCCCATTTTGAAAGTAATCCGTGACCATACATGGCATCATCAGAAAATAAGATTGATGACTACAGTAAATTTCTTAAATTATGTTTTAACATATAAAATCTCTGTAGAACAATAAAACTGTCAACACCTTTATCAGCACTTGTTACATGATTGACTAGTATGTAATCACTGTTTGTTTTAAAAATCCATTTCTTTGTTATTTTAAACTTAAAGAATATTTTTTAAAAATTGATTAATTATACTTTAAATCAGCTAATATTCCTCAAAGTTTCAGAAAAGTATATTTTATTCTTGGAAGATTTTTTAATATAGAAAATAACATTATGATAACAGATGACTAAAAACTGGTGGTAATCAACTATTTTTAGGCAAAAAAAGAAAAAGAAAAAATGAATCGACTCCAACTAATAGAATTTCTGTTTGGAATAAACTAGTGTATTTTGCTTACTGGAAATAGTAAATTTAATCCTTTAGTTTTCAATTAAAGCTAAAATGAAAGCCTCAAGAAGGTTTTTCAATTTTTTAAACTCATTTTAAACCTTAAATATCACGAATTAGTGGAGGTACCTATTTTAATATAACATTAAAATTAAACTTAAATACCATATTATTTTAATATTAACAGCATTACCTAAGCATTTTGTCTTTTCCGTTATTTTTTTTTTTTATATATATAATCTTTCCATTTATCCTTTTTATTTTTTTTGTATGTTTCATATTCTAAAATTTTCAGTGATTTCTCATATGCTAATATAAAGAATTATATATAAGATTATTATTTAATTGAACTACTTAAAGTCAGTTCTCAGCTTGTCCAAATGTTTTTGTCAAGTGATTTTTCTAAGAATACTTTGAGCTTTAAGACTCTTCAGTATTTTGTATTTATTGCTTTGATATTCTTAATATAGTCTTCTCTGAGTCAAAATCGCTTCTGTGGCTGTCATTATATATTGACATTAACTTACCTTTAAATTCCCTTGTAATAGAAAATATGAAATTATTTAAAGAAAAGAAAGGATAAGTTTTAATGCAACATCATTTTTAAGTGAAAATAACAATTTAGAAATGAAGATGATTTATGTAGAAAGAACAAGAAAGAATTGTAAATAAAAAAAATTTTCATAGTTCAGTGCAAATCTTTATTTTAATTCATTGTGGAATATCTGTTCTTAGTCCAATCAAACTGCTACACAAAAAAACATTCTTTACATTCCAATTTCAAACATTTCAAAGTAATATACATTTTAGGGATTGACTTAATTGGTTAAGTTTCACATTTCTCGCATATATATTATGGAGGTTATAACACAGAAATGTAAATTAGCTTTACTTATTAGGTAACTTTAGCCTACATTCCTCCTATATGGCAGTGAATGCTGGAAAATCTCCTCAAGGATTAAGAGGAAACTTGAGGTGATAGAAATGTGGTTCTACAGAAGGGTGCTGAGAATATCATGTACTGAATATGTGAGCAATGACAAAGTTTTAGAGAAAATGGAAACAAAAAGGACACTTATAAATAACATCAGAAAGAGATAGGTGAAACTTCTAGGATAGCAAATGGGGAAAGAGGGCTTGGAAAATTTGATCCTCACAAGACAGACAAAGGAAAGTGGCACATAACTTACTAACAAGCTTCTGTAAATGGTTGGCAGAAACAAGGATTAGAAGAGATAGCAAAAAGACAAAATTTATTAAGAGATATAAAGGACAAGAAACTGTGGAGAGCCGTGATTGGTCATATTCTGAAAGGACATGGCACATTGTAGAAGAAATTCAGCCTTCAGCTTGAAACATAAATATCAGAATTCTCCAGATGTAAAAAAGAAGGAATGTTGCAAATAACTTCTAAAAGCTTCACATTTCTGACATTGGCTGGTTACAACATCATTTTATTTGCACCGAGATGGAATTAAACAAAGATGGCTGACATTTGAATAATTTGAATTCTAATGAGAACAACACATTTTATAAGTAATGGCAGTATGGATATATGATTGAAATGCTGATGATGGTAGGTCAATGACTAGAGTTTGCAAAATACAAAACAATATTATATTATAATTTAACTTACAAAAACTCCTTTAGTGAATGGAATGAATCTTTAGATAAGGGGAGACAACTCTTGACGTGAAATGATTTACAATATTTGAAATTTGCTTATTTCCTTCTAACTCCGTTAATCATTGCTTTGTATTTTGCCTTACTTTAGGGTTTGCCTTTGATCCCACCTCCTCCACCGCCAACAAATAATGAAGCCATGAACAGCAATGAAGCACTATGTAGTATGTTGATGTCTTGGTATATGAGTGGATATCACACAGGTTATTACCAGGTAATGTTTTTCACGTTTATTTTTTTTACAAATGTAAACAAATATATAACTTTAGTATTCATTTTTTAGAATTAATACAAATAAAATTTGTCACTTAACTGATTGATGTTATATTCAGCATCTTGAATCTAGTTTTGTAGACAAAATTTTTTGTAATTGTTCAATACACATGTTGGGAGATTTCAGAAATTGTCTGCCATTTTTCATTATGCAAATTTATTAAAATTTGTTTATTTGGTGTATTTTCACAAATTTGTCATTATACTTACTACAGAATATAATCTGAAACTAATTAATTATAAATTCAATTAAAATGATTATCATGAAAAGCAAAAAATAAAATCAATGTGATTAACCGTGGAAAATAATTTACTTCATTTAATATGAAAGCACTTCTTTGTTACTCTTTATCAAATAATAAAGAACAATAAAAAATTACTTTATTTAAAACATGTCAGATAATTTCTCCTTTTGTTAGTGTTTTTTTAAAATAATAAACCTTCTTGCTATATATCATCTTGGGTATGATGATAAACTACATCCGTTCCTGGGTAAGATGATAAACTACGTCCCACAGCAAGGATTCTGATAATACGTTTTTGAAAAAATAATGTTGCCAGCTGTACATTTTTGAAAAAAAAATATTACCGGCTATACGTTTTTGAAAAAATAATATTACCAGCTATACATTTTTGAGAAAAAAATAATAACAGAAATGGATTTTTGACAAAGCAAAAATATTACCGGGGGGGGGGTGTCGGCATTAAATGACCCATTGAGGTTGATATGCTGCAAAACAAACCAAACCAAACCTTCTTGCTATATAAGAAAAATATAGTATCTTAAAAAGTTCTTGCAGAATACAATTATCTTGATTACTATAATGTTATTTACTAATTTCACTCAATTTTATTATTTTTTTTATTTTTTTTATATCATATTGCTCTGGCTTAATGGATAAACACTGACTGTTAAATCAAACAGTACAAAATGAAAAACCAAGAAGAAGTAGCTTCTACTGAGACATGAACTTGTATTTATTCGGAGTCCATCTTTCATGGATGTCAAGTTAACTATTTCAGTCATTGATGATTAAGCAGAACACAATTTACAAGTTTCTATGCCACTTTTATATTACCTAGTAAAAGTAAAATTAATTTTTGAATTTTTTTAGATGAGAAGTTCCAGTGTTGTGGTTGATGCAAAAATATATGAAAGATAGACTCCAAGTTCAAATCATGTCGGAAGCTATTATTAGGGATTTCACAGTTTTTCTCAAGCAGTTAAAAAAATTTATTGACTTATTTGTGATTATTTTTTTAAATATTAAAATGGAGTAAAACAAATAAGTTAAAAAGTTTTATCAAAAAACTAAAAAAAAAAAACATTGTTTTTTGCATAAAAAGACCCATGTTCAAAAGAAAAGAATTATTTCTGTATAAAAGAATTTTTTTTATTTATTTCAGGGTTTGTCTCATAGCCAAAAGAACAGTAAACACTCCTAAAAGTGCCAGATGTCACATTTTTTGTGAAACTGTTTCAAAGATTGAAAGTTTTTCTACATAAATCACAAGACAAATTGAAGCAGTAAAAAGGATTTGTACATTTCATTATTAAAACGCATTGATTTTTTTTTTTAAATAATTTTTCTTTGTTATTTTCTCTTGTTTTAATCCCCATTGTATAAATGTTTACAATTACACTCATTATGTGTATTTAAACTTCACACACAATTATACCTGAGTTTCAAATTAATGGGGTGGCTGGAACTTTAATAATAATCTTCAGTAATGAAAAGTTTTGTTGTAGAATATTTGCAACCTAAATTAAGGGGTGGTCAGAATAAGGAAGTCCCAGGTAGACTTTTTTTTTCCATAAGTGAATAATTGTCTTGGTTATTTCAGCCTTTTGCTTCTCATAAATGTAAACCTGTTTTGATGACTGGACAGATTTTGTAACTGTGAAACTGGTTTATTCTTATTTCTTTTTGGTAGCCAACTTTATAACATTCAGCTTTATACATTATTTGGACTATTGTCCTCATCTTTGTCGCCATATTTATCACGTTTCGGCCTTCTTCAAGTGGTTGGAATGTCGAACTGAACCCTTTATTTTGCTCACTAGGGTAGACTGTTCTAGTTCCACGTGCCATGTTTGGATGTCAGCTATCAGTTATCTCCTGTTAATTTTCCCTCTGAAAGTTCTCCACTGCCTTAACCGGGTATTGAACTCGCACTCTTTGTGCAAAACAGCAAAATTGCAATATGAGCACTGGTAAAAATGGTTGCTGAAGACATTAGATTTATAATACCCAGAAATTCATACCCAGATGTGCACAAGGACACATGGCACAGTGGATAAAGGTGTTGGTTAGATCCAAAGAGTGTGAGTTCAATACCCGGTTAAGGCAGTGGAGAACTTTCAGAGGGAAAATTAACAGGAGATAACTGATAGCTGACATCCATCAAACATGGCATGTGGAACTAGAACGGTCTACTCCAGTGTTCAGTTCGACATTCCAACCACCTGAAGAAGGCCGGAGCGTACAAGGGCCGAAACATTGTGATAAATATGGCGACAAAAATGAGGACAATAGTCCGAATAATGTAAATAATGTACATAATAGCTCATCTCAGAAATATAGACAGATCCAGCTTTTATATGAAAAATGTTCATTTTTATATGCAGACTAGGCTGGTTCTAATCTGTGACCTAAATGTTTGTTTTAAAACAGGACCCCCCCTCCCTTTTGTGTTTTATAATTTATTAAAAATGAAAACACATGAGATACAACCTAACTATTGGTAAAAAACTATCTGTACATTAATATCATAGTGTCTATCTGTCTTCTTACAACAGGCATCAAACTCTGAAAGAAAAAAAATTACTTATCCACTTTAAAAAAAAATGTCAAAGGAGAAATAAAACTTAAAACTGCAAGCCTCTCTCTGTATCTTCCTTTTATTGCAATCATTTTCCTTTCACATACTTTTACTCAGAAGGTAATGGAGTTTTGTTTTAGCAAGATGATCTCCTGTGGCTAAAATTGGTAACAGTACACTACAGGAATGATTTCCCTGATAGACAAAGGGGATATAGGTTTGATTCCTGTAGAGAGGCACATTTGTCTTTAGTAGGACTTCTCAATCTCTATTGGTTGATATTTAAAAAAATATTAATAAGAAATAATTATCTATACATTAATACTATAATGCCTGTCTACTTACTCTCCTACATCATGTAGGCATTAAACTCCAAAAGACAAAATACTTCACCCAATATAAGAAGAGATCAAAGGGTTAATAAAACTCTTCATCATTCTGCCTTGCTTTTTCCAATTCTGCTGTTGTGTGGAAATTAACAGATAGGCAGCTGATTTTAAAATGTACATACATGCGCACACAACAAAACAAAGTATTGGTAAAACCAACACAAAGCCTGCCAAGTGACTAAATGAAAGATAAACTGACAAGAAAAAAAAAATATCAAAGGTAGACATGGATCCAACCAGGAAAAGAGAGTGCTCTATGTCTAACTGAACAAGACAGAGTAAATAGCCTACAAAGCAGCACTACTCAAACAGAGACTAAATTTAGACTGCTTCTCTAGTTTCACACTACTGTGATCATCAGGCAACCAGAATGTGCATATACATCAGTGGTGACTCTAACAGTCGGGCTTAGCCTGAGTGAGTCAATATTCAAGGATATCTATTTCAAAGCAACACAAATATTTTGTAGTGCATCGTTTTCATTCTTGACTTCAGCTGGATCCAAAATTAATTGCTTTAACTCCATGCCTTAAAATATTGACTAAAATACATTTCATTGATATTGTTCATAATTTAAAAAAAAAAATAGAATGAAATAAAATTAATCTGACTAGTTGGGCTATGTAGATCTGAGCTGGGGGCATAATAGGCAATGTATTTCTTGCTTTAATTTTATAAATAATCTTTTAAAAATCTTTAATGACTTGTAGGCCCTGTTTTTCAAAGAACAAATTTTTATTTCAACTTATTTTCAGATGTCCATTTTAAATAATTTATTCCATATAGAATAAGGCTTTTTAGTACAATATATCAGTTGAAAAAGGGCAAATTAAATTAACCCAACCTAAAGTTGGCAAAAAAAAAAAGAATTAACTCAACGACTAGGTTGAGTGTGACTGAAGTAGTGTTGAGAAAATATGACGTTAGTAAGCAGTACTGGTCATCATACACAGATATACAAACACACACTCAAGATAGATACATCTGGCTAGATATTTTTTAAAAATTATATATTTTAGTTAGATGCTAAAATGATTTCTTTGCTCTAAGTTATACCAATAGCATATTTTGTTAAAGATTGTAATGAGTCCAATAAACATTGATGACCTACAGTCACCACTGAAATATATATAAATAAATAATATTAGTGGTCAATATATATATATATTTCCAAGAGGATATAATCCAGATATAGCTCTGTCAGAGACAGAACAAGAATATAATAAAGGCTCAGGCACTAAAATTTCCTGGTTATAATTTATTTCATTGGGTTCATAATAACGACCCAACTCCTTGGACCTACAAATTCAAAAGGAAACAAAATATATCTCCAGCTTTAAATAACAAAATTTCTGTGGGAATGGGGAAAATAAGGATGAGAGAGAAGGACATGTATGAAAGATTTAGAGAGAGGTAGAAAGAAAGACAGAAGAACAGGAAAAAAGCTAGTGTGAAGAATAAAACTTTAAAGAGAGAAGTTAACGGTTTTAAGGTGTGAGATTTTGATGAATATGAGTTATTGTCAGTTTCATAAATTTACTTCTGATTCATTAATCTAAAAAACAAAATGGAAGAGCATGAATACATTTGTGGTGACATTAGTTACAAAGAAAGCAGGGGAACTAGGTGTGAAGGGAAATCGTTGAACAATCCAAATTTTTTGTCTAGCTAACATTTACAATACCAATGTATACATGAAAATTTGTTGTCTGGCTTACATTTACTAAACTTATGTATACATGAAGGAGAAAACATGAGAGAGGAAGAGAGAGAAGAAAAAAGGTTAGAAGGAAAAGAGGGATAAAAGAAAAAAAGAGGCCTTTAATAAGAGAAATAATATGTAATCAAGAACATTTTGAAAAAGCATCTAATTTTTCCCTTACAGATTACAAATTTAACAAACATAAAAATATATTTAATCCAGTCAAAATTACTATTTCCACATACACCTATATATATATATACGTATATTTCTGTGGGTAATTAAATGACAAGCTGGAAAAGTTCTGTTATGCTTTTCATCCTTCAAAAGGACTTTAGATGACTAATGTTTTGTTTTTTTATCAAAGGAATCATATGTTAGGAGAGAATCGAATAACAAATGTTAATATGGAATTCATTGACAAAAACATTTAGTCTGAAGAAGTCTTTTGAAAGGGCAGCATGCATATGATTTTTTTTTTTCCATTTCATCATTCAATTACCCAATTATTTGTCAGATATATTAAGTTGTATGTCATAGTCTCTCATTTATTTATTTATTTTTGTATGTGTCTAACGCAGAGCACACAGATATTAGACTGATCCACTGGAAATTTTCAAAGTGATAAAAAAAAATACAGTGTCCAATATAAATATAAAATCTTTTTTATTTATCAAAATTTATTCCTGATACAACCATGATTTTTTTTTTCTTTCAAGATATTGAATAAGATTGATTGATCAATAATAATGTCTAACATAATCATTGCAGGGAAATATACAAAGTGTTTAAAATTACATTCTCTTATTTGAAATTGTATATTTTTTTCTGAAACCAAACAAATTTGATTTTAATGGCACCACTATATCTGTAAAATCTTATTAAAATCACCCTCAGAACTATTGCACATGTTTACTTTTCTTTATATTCAATTGGAAAAAAAAAACACAACAAACAAATGTAAACTCCACCCTTTTTTTTATGCTTCAAACAAAAATATAAAATAAAATCAATATACTATTCTTCTACAAAACACAAATTTAAATAAAAATAAAATAAATTCACCCTTGAAATAAAGAGGTAGCAAAGTTAACCACTGCTGCTGGATGGCTACATGACTCCATTTTAATCGTATTTTTGTATAATAGCAGTCATGTTCAAAACTATAAGAAGTAAAAAAAGAGATTATTCTTTAGGCTTCCATCTTTGAACTTAGCTTGTAGTGAATGTCTGATTGGTTGCGTATTTTCTCAGCTGCCTGTCAAGAAGAAAAAAAAAAAGAATCCATTCAAATAATCATTAAAGATTCATGGAATGTCTTTGAATCTTATTTATGCTACTAGTGTACCCATACTGTCAAAAATGGCTGCAATTGTTAAAGTTTTTATAGTGAGATGAAGTGAAACAAAAGTCTCAAAACAATAAATTGTCATTCAATAAAGTGGAGATAAAGAATTCACAACTAAAATAGAGGCCAGCAAACTGTTTAATTAATCTGTTCCTTTTATATCATTTTTAGAAGTTCAATGGTATCTATGAATCATTGATTACTCCTGGTATTGTATAAATCATTTTTCCCTCAATATCTTTTCATGTTAAAAATGATGTGTTTAATATAACAATGAAATGGAAATATCTCTGAGAAGAAAAAGATTGGCAACAGAACAACGTCTATTTTGAGACCAAGTTGAAGCAAGATGACCACTTAATAGACAAAGGTATCTGAGTGCCTCACATGAAAGGCTTGAACAAATAAGACTGGTGGGATGATTCTCTGTGGTAGGTAAAGGAGAGCAGTTTACAAGCCATTTCCTGCCCCAGTCATTGGAGGTCCTTTTTGAGAACAGCAGCTGGATTAGTTTTGTCAACAATATGAGATTTACTATTGAGGCAGGAGTAAATAGTAGTTTCGTCCACATAGATGCCTACTTGGGAACTGATGACATCGGGAAGGTCTTTGATGATGATCAGGAACAGTGTAGGGCTCAACATAGAGCCTTGGGGAACACCAGTGTTCATGATAAAGGAGCCGGAGGAGAATTCGTTTAGGACGACCTTCATTTCACGGTTTGACAGGAATGATTGTATTAAGTCAAATAATTGTCCTGTAATACTGTATCCCTAAAGCTTATGAAGAAGGCTAGCATGCCAAACCCTATCAAATGCTTTAGAGATGTCTAGAGCCACAGCTTCTCCATTATTGTTGAGTGCTTTGTATACAAATTCAGTTATGGCTGTAAGCATGTCAGTGGTAGATCAAGCAAAGTGGAAACCATATTGCTTGTTAGAGAGCAGATTTTGTGAAGTAAGGTGCTTAACCACTTCGGCTGTTGATTAAAGTCTTGAAGACTTTACCAAAGAGTGATAGGAGACTGATAGTACAGTAGTTAGATGGGTCAGAAGGGTCACCAGAGTTCTTAAAGACAAGCACAACAGATGAGGACTTCCAACAAGTTTAATAGCAAGAGTCGGTGAGGCAGTAGTTGTAATGTTTAGAGAAGACAGGAACCAATTCAGGAGCACATTTCTTCAGGACAATGGCTGGTATCACATCCCAAATCTAATTTAGAGATGATGTCCAATACCATTGTTGGCATTATGTGCATCTCACTCAGTAGATCCTCAGTTCTAGGGGGGAAAATCATGTGTGGGTACACCAGATAAGTTTAGCTAGTTTCTTTTTTTTTTTTATCTTTATCAAATAATGTTAGAAAGCATTAAACTATCAAAATGTATTCACTGATGTAAACAATCGTTATTAAGTTGTCAGAAAGTGATACTTTGTACTCAAGAATAAAAAAAATAAAACTTTTGTGGTAACTGTTATAAAAAGATTATTAAACGATTTGCATTATAGTAAAATAATTATTTACTAGATTATTATTGGGAAAATTAATAATGTTATGGTCCAGGTCCTTGTACCACAGTGATGGTCCAAGGTAGAACCAATAAAGAAGAACTCGAACATGGATATGGAATAACACAGATATATTACAAACAGGAATATATACAGAGAAGTAGAAAGTGTTAGTACGAACAATCAGGTTTAGTAGGGAGAACAATGTAGTCTTGACCAGTATCACTATTCCAATGTCATGTAGTAATTGTCTGAACGCGACTCTGTTTCGGACTGCCTCTGACTCGACTGACTGACTCCTGACGGACTTCACTCCAGACTTCAAGACTGAACTCTTTGCTTCCTCTTGAGGAGCAGTATTTATTAAGTATGGAATAGTCCATTATGTTATTATGGGTAAGGTCCCATAACAAAGTAGAAAAACATTTTTGTGTGACATGATTCATCCTTTAGAACTTCATCAGAGTAAAGTGATGTTTATGCTATGATTACACTTGCACATGAAAGAGAGGGGATGCTGAAATTTTAAAACTTTTAAACATAATTTTTGTTTTTTTAATTTTTTAAAAAATAATTTGGGGTTTATTGTCTAGCGGCCAATTTTAGTTAATTTCTTTTTTTCTTTATATTTTTATCCCTTTTGTTATTAAGTATCCGACATTGTGATAAGAAAAGATCTGTCCAGAAAGGTGAAAGGTAAAAACCCAGTTGCAAATTTATTGTAGATGATCTAATGATTAAAAGATTTTCCTTCAGTGCCATGCATGATGCAGATTTGACCGATCATATCTCTTTCTGATTCATGAATGACACGGTAGAAGAATTCCTGCAGTAGGTTATGATTACTTTCTGCAGTAAACTGGTTGCCAACCAAGGCTATAGGACTCAGTCTGTCAACCTAGGGCAGAAAAGAGATGGATACATACCTTTCCCAAGGGTAGTTGCATGTAAATGAATTTAACAAACTCTATAAAAATTCAAATTTGGCTCTCCAATTCCTCATTCCAAGCCACTATCCATCACATCATCCAGACACCCAAGTTACAGAACCTGGTATTCCCATGCGATTATCCATCTAGGTACTGACCAGGTTCAATGTTGCTTAACCAGTGTTTCAACATAATATGGTAGTTTATTTATATCATAAAAAATAACAGCAGATTTAGTTAATTCCCTACAACTATTAAGTTTTTACTTGAGTCTTTTTTTTCTAATTATTATTATATTTAATACATAATAGTACTAGTAGCTGATTTATTACTTATTAACATTAGAAAACTGGCTGTCCACTTTATGTCTAGAATTTTTTTATTAACACTAGTTTCCCCATGTCATATCAAAATTGACATCATCATCAAACTCCTCCTCATTATTATTGTCATCATTATTGTTGTTCATATGTATATTTTCCAAATATATCAATATGAATTAAGCATCCTGGGTATGACAAACTACATCCACGGGTAAGACAATAAACTACATCCAACAGCAAGGCCTCTAATTAGGAGGATTTGAGGAGCGTGGAACCTCCTCTTAATTGCTGGTATTCCCAGGTCCACCATGACCCGGGGTGGTAACACCTGTTAAGGTCCCAGCTATGGGCAAATAGTTACCTCCGAAACTGAGGTAAAAAAAACATTGTAAAAGTGTGAAAATATGTTTTAATACCAGAAATACTTTGTAAAAAATTATTACCAGAAATAAATTTTTGAAGAAAAAAAAATATTACCAGCAATACGTTTTTGAAAAAATATTACCAGCTATATGTTTTTGAAAAAATAATATTACCAGCTATACATTTTAGAGGAAAAAAATATTAACAGAAATAGATTTTTGACAAAAACAAAAATATTACCAGAAAAAAAAAAAAAAAAAAGAAGTTTTCGGAATTAAATGACCCATTGAGGTTGATATGGCGTAAAACAAAACAAACCAAACTAATATGAATTAATTATATGGGGGATCAGTTTATTACTTAATAACAACAGAAATGTGATACACACTTAATGTCCCATAGAATCTTATATTAATACTAGTTTTCCCATGCCATCAAAGATGATGACATATTTTCTCAAATCCTTATTATTAGAATATTTTAATCTGTTTTTCTTTAAATATATTTTTTCCCAGTTATTATTATTGTACTCTACTCTTTCAAAGTGTCTTTTCATCTCCTGACTTTGTAAACAGCTTGTTTTACTGGAGACTTTAAAAGTTACTACTAATATATAGACAAATACCCTTAGTGTTTTATTATATAAGACACAAAGAGTATTGTGTTGTATTGAAAGAATAAAATTTACAGGATGTTAAAAATAATGCTGTTACCTGTTCTGCTGTGAGGTCTCTTTGGGCTTGTGCGAGTAACTCATAACCAACCATAAATTTTTTTACAGTTGCTGACCTAAGCAAAGGTGGATAGTACATGGCATGGAGTTGCCAATGAGTTTGATCTGATTTCAAATAACTTCCTGTAGGTGCACCTAGAAAATATAAATAGATTTATTAAAATTTTCAAACAAGAAGGCAGGAACCCAAACTTTCCTTTCTCCAGAACAAATTATTTTGATGTAGTTTTGTAATTGATAAGGGTAGAAAAGAAAGTGATTCTCTTCAAGCCCTTTTTATTAAAGTTCAATTCTCTGTAAGAAAATGCCTTACAGCAATGTCTTGAATAATATAGTTAATGCTTTATTCTAAAATTAGCCCTAATTATTCAATGGTTCATTGTTCAAGATCATATAATAATGTGTTTTTTTTACTATTTTTGGTACACTTACATAAATTAAAATCTGTAAGAATCAGTACATTTTAACATAGAAAAAAATTGAAAAAGCAGAAAATTATTAGTAATTTCTTTTTTTTCTTTTGGTAAATTGAATTGTCAATGGAAATCATGGGTTTCATATTTCTTAAGGATTTTTTGTTTGTTAAGACTTACATGAGACAAACAGAATATGAATTTCTCTTGAATACACACGTCTTCCTTGTATTTAATGTAAGGCAAGAAAATCCCAATTGTCATCAATATAAAGTGAAAAACTGAATGAAATTGTTTGAGTAAATCTTATTTTAACTGAAATTCAAAATATATCCTGTTTGATTTTTTGTTCAAAAGCAGCAGTTTTTTTTTCTGCATAATTTCAAGTGAATATTAAATGAAATTTCTTTTTCACTTAGTAATTTTTTTTAATGCCACATATAGCTACATCTTGGGCTGCAACAATGTGCCATGGGGCAATATTTGGAAACCACTGGCTTGACCAATTACATAGAGATATTGTGATGCTCTCATGGTAACAGCAGGTGAAAAGAGTTGTCACCTTGATACTCTCTTGGTAACAACGGCTTAAAAGAGTTGCTGCTGTGATGATCTCATGGTAACAGCAGGTGAAAAGATTTGGATAATGAATAAGAGATAGGAAACACATGTGAAAAGAAATAAAAAAAAAAAAAATGAAAATAATAATTACCATGCCATCCCATAGAATATGGAAATGATGTACGGAATAAGTTGTCATATTTGGTTAGAAGCTGCTTCATGATGACAGACAGACCTGAAAGAAATATTGAACTGTTTCAAACAGATAGCTATGTAATACCACACCCTACATCTTGTAAGAAAAGTTGGGACATAAAGGTAATTATCATTACTACTAATATTAATATATTATTATTATTTATATAATAAATAACAATAATAAATTAAATGTTCAGTGACTTGTAAATTAAAAAAAAAACAGTTTAAGGAGAGACAAATGAACCTCTTAATTTTATTTGTTACAATTAATTTTCTCTCTTTTGATATTGAGCACTTTAATTACAAAGATTGCTTGCTTTAAAAGTGTTATCCCCGCAGAAAGAGCCAGCTCTTCTTTTTTCCTTAACTTTTTATTATTGCTATAATAAATAATATGGAAGTGTGTACAGTGCAATGGTTACCAACACTAAAGTTCAAATTCTGATTGAGTTCGTTTCATTCACTTTGAACCAATGCTTTTAAAAAAGACATTAATCTATCTTACTCCAGCTATGGGTTAAATAGCAGACTGGGATCTCTTGCTTTAGTTGGTAGCCAGTCTAGGAGAAAAGTATCTCTAAATTCAAAACCAGCCTGATATTTTATGAATATTAATGTTATGATGATAACAATAGTAATTTTGTCTATGCCTATATCATTCTCCCCTCCTTTAGTTGGAGAGGCTACAGCTCTCAACAACACAATTGCATTGCTGCTGTGGTTTCCATAACAAACAAGGTTTTTTATGGAATGAAGTTGCTCATCCTATGCCCAACTGGTTTCATACTCTGTGTTCCCATGCAGTCCCTCATCTAAGTACTGAATCGGCTCGAGACTGCTTAACTTTGATGATCAAATGAAAATCACAACTATTCAGATTATTCTATATTTGTTGTTAGTAAACAACATAGCTCAGAAATACAAAAATAAACCCTTGGCAAGATTTGAATTCAAATCTCTTTAACATTTGAAGGTCTGGCAATTTACAACAGCTGCTCTACTTAAATGGCTGCAAAAGATCAAATTGAACCAGATAAACTTCTGTACATTCAGCACAAGTATATTTGATGTTTTGTTTTTATATACACTTGTATTATTATTTAGAATAATTTTAACTTGAAGTATTATTAAATGAATCATTGCCAAGTATTACTATTTTTGACTGGAGTTTCTTCCATCTTAATCTCAATTATTCAGTTTATTATTCTATATTCATTAATAAATATTGCAGGTCAGAAATGAAGACTATGCTTAAGGCAAAAGTAAAACTTCTCTCTCTTTCTACTTTGGGAACTCTATGTTTGACAACAGCTTATCATTACATATCATTATCAGTTGTCTTCAGCTGTATCTTTTGTTTCTGATATTGGTCGGTACAAATGTTGAGATCCTGGTAATTTTGAGGAATCATTTTAAACTGGGCCTCAAAATTGATCGCAGAATTCAGCAAGTGTACCCAAAAGAGGTTCAACTGTCCAAATAATATTGAGTCTGTGAGAATTATATTTTTAATGTTTTTTTTCTTTTTTCCCTTTTATTTTTCATGGCTTATTGCTTTCTGATTCTGAATATTTCATAAGAGCTGACAAATAAACGTCTAGAATTCAATAATATTAATTTTATTTTCTTTTTTTGATGGACATATGATATGCTCCTGAAATTTGTATAGGTTCATCGAAGCATTGGTAGTCAATCAGCGAACTGTCTATAATTTAAAGTTTTATGTATGTTCTTATTAGCTTTCATTCTTGTTCTCTCTCTGCCCCTTGCCCACACACACACACACACACACATCAACTTTCCTAGCAACAGACCTAGCAATTGATCCAATATAATCTTTCCACTTCATGTCAGGGGAAAATTTTAGCCTGAGAAGGTGCAATGAATCACTTTCCTGGAGGTTAGCATCAGCCATGTTGATGGAAGGTAGAAAGGGGTTTCTCAGATGATTACTATAGAGCAGCACATAACCTTGCAGGTGGGGTGCAATTAGAAATGCTTTCAGGTTGGGTAACCCAGTCTGCTAAGATGGCCTCCGACTGAAGATGTTCAGAAGTATCTAGTGTAACTCTGAAGTTGCCGTGGCTGCCTTATCCTTCAAAAAGAGAAAAATAACCCTCTCAGCACCTAGCCATGAGGCTCAGTCACTATCACAGTGTGTCAATCCCTAAGGGATATGCCCAACTGGTTAAGATCAGGCAACTAACAAACAGCAAGAAAAGGATGTTTACTGTAGCCCATCTTAATTCACCAAGAAAAAACATGTACATAGTTACACCTTCAATCAATTAAGAGAAGGAATCATACCCGATTCCAAAATAAAACTGCTCTCTATTGACAACTAGCAGCATGGCCTGGCGTTGACAGTGCTTGATTCAAAAATCGTACGACTCATACAGCAATTGCTATCACTTGACTTAAAATATTTTTGCCCTTCCTTGCCTTTAAAGGAGTGCCCTTTGCCGTGCTGATGTTGCTACATGCCTTACTTCTTGCCTATCTCACACTGCAAATTTTTTCTTAAGCTCTATACTAAACATTAAATCTGGTATGTAAAAGAACTAAACAAAATGAACACAAAATGATCAGCTTTAAAAAAGGACTCGTAACTGGAAAAACTGAATGAAAAAAAATGTTAACAACAAATACTTTTTCACACCCAACACAGTTCTGCGGAATCAGAATCAAAGTTGAGTTTAAGCAAGCGAATGAGCCAATTGGAGTAAAGTGCCATGCAGATTTAAATTTTTCCTCACTTGTGACGAATGCAGCTATTGATTTTTTTGCATGCTAGTTAACATTCGTGTCAGTCAGCTGTTGGCTCTCACGATGGCCAATAGAATCTTCCTGCCTATTTGTGGCAGCTAGCTATAGGCTCTCACTCTGGCCAGTACAAAATGGCCACAAACTACATGAAAACTGCCGTAGAAGCATAAAAAAAATCAATTATTTCCACTATCGATGGGAGTTGGGAAATGCAAAGTTGGTCTTGGCCTTCCCTCTAACTTGGAGCATGTGCATGTAAATTTTGGTGCAAATCTGATGAAAATTGCGGCCGTGCATTCATTACACACACACACACATCCTGCCTTTTATAGATAGAGATCATAAAGAATCTTTCTTGTTTTTCATCAGTATGGCTGATGCTAACCTCCAACTAATTAATTGTGCCTTCTTGGTCTCATGTTTTCCACTGACATTAAATGAAATGATTATGTTGAATCAATTCCTAAGTCTGCTGCTTGAAAAGTCAGTTCATTATGCCATGCTAGACATTTTTTCTCATCAGAATAAATCTTACACATTTATAAGTCTACTATTCATCTGTGCATCATTTTTACAGCCAAATTTGGTCTGGTGTTTCAGTTTTATAGCTACAAATTCTTGACAAAATCCCAAGACCATGCAATGTTATCAGTCCAGATCTGGCATCTGAGCTTCAGTCACTTTCCTACCACCATAACGTAGATTCTCTTTACCTCTTCTATAAATATTTTCATGGTAATTGTTCTGATTAGCTTTCCTCGTTGGCACCTCAGCTTCACAAAATTTAAGTGCAATACTAGATTGGCAGTTAGGTCTCATAATTTCCCTGTTGAAATTGCTAGTTGTAACCATAAGTTCTATGCTGATAGTTTCTTCTGTACTTTTCACTAATGGAATTCTCTTTTGGCTTCATGCTTTCCAGTCAACTACAATCTTCAAAAATTTATATGCACAGTCAACCATTATTTTCTGCCTCACTGTTTCTTTCAATCTTAGTAACCCCTTGCATTTTAGTAGCTTTCATCACTTTGCATGAGGTGAAATGATTAAAAAAAAAGTCACCAAGGTATTTATTATTATTATCATCATATGGCTGTACCTTCTGTTTCAGCTATTACAATGCCAAGTAGAAAACTTGGGCAATTTTGAGACATTATTTTAATCTGGGTTTCAAAGCTGTTGAAGCCATTTGTAGAATCAAAGAACTAGAAGAAAATGAAATGATATCTAATTGTCTACCCAAAACTTGTTTAAGTAACTGGTGCTGACTTCTCCCTTGAAACAAAGCCCAGAAACAGACAATCAAATTGTTGATAACAATGCTTTAAAAGCAAAAGTAAGAGAATCTGACCCTGAATACTTAAAAAAAACTCTCACAAGTGCTTGAAGCATCAAAAGATAACATATTTAGAAAAATTCTTCTTCTATATGCCATGTCTCTTCCAGGTGTTGGCGATCATGGTTCTCCACAATTTCCTGTCCTTTTTAACTCTTAATAAATTTTGTCTTCTTGTTATTTCTCCTAAATCTCATTCTGTCATTCATTTACTCAAGCTCACTAGGTATGTTATACATTGTTTTCTTCTCTCTCACCTTCAATTTGTCCTGTGAGTATCAAATTTTCTAAACCTTCTTTCCTTATTACGTGCCTTAGATATTTCAACATTCTCTTCCTGATGTAGTATCCTTTTTGTTTGCATTTTCTCTAAAACTTTGAGGAGATTGTCCAGCATTCACTATCATACCAATGTGTCATGTTGCATCTGTGACAATGTCATAGTTTAAAATGGGTTTAACATTTGTAACATTGGGTTGTTCCTTTCCGTCTTCTTGCAATTGACGTTCAGTCCTTTCTTCTTGCTTTCATTCACTACCTTCTGTAGGAGTTCTGGTAGTTTCTTTTCTGTGTCTGCCATTAACACCATGTCATCTGCATATCTCATATTGTTAAGATTGTGGTCACCAATAATGAATCCTGGTAGGACTATTAGTTCTCTCAGAGTCAAGTCACTATAGAGGTTGAATATGTCCATACACAAGCTTAAAAATAGTCATGCAGGTACTGAGTTCTCGAGAGGATAAAAAAGTGAAAATATTTTTGATACACTCTGATGAATCTTAAAGACTTTTATCCATGATAAGTGCAGGAGTTGATTGATTCTTCTAGGATTGTTGAGATATTTCGGGAAATGAATTTACCTAGGTAACAGCGTGTAGGTAAAAGCTTTTTCATTTGAAATGACTCATGATTTTTCTTTCAGCTGCAATACATTTATTACCATAAAAAACTAAACAATTAAAAAAAATTCCTATCTTGTTTACTAAAGCTATCCCCCACTGAGATTAGAATGTTTATTCAAACTTTGACCTGTTAACCTTTTTTTAACAATCATGTTTATTTGGTAGTATTTATTTTATCTAATCTATTAGGTCCTCATTTTACCAAGGCTTATTTTGTTCAAACTTAATGACATTTGACCATTATGCATGCCAAAGACCACAGCTGCTATAGTTAAGACTTAGTCATATATTTATAGAATTGTAGGTTGGCAATATTTCATGGCCATTTACAAAAAAATTCCCAACTATCAATTACATTAATTTTTTATTTTAGCAATTCACCCCTGAAGATGATCTTGGATGGGATTAAAAGTACTTGGGGGAAAAAATGGAAAAAAAAAAAAAACTATGACACCTTCCTTAATGAATTTAATATCAACATTGAGAAGTTCATCTGTGAATTTGAGAAGATTAAAATACCTAGACATGTCCAGATTATTTATTCAACCAAACATGCTACCTAATTATATATATATATAATATATATATGTGGATTTATATATATATTATACATATATATATGTGGATTTTTTTAAAAAAATAATCCCCCATTACAACCAAAAATATTTGCAGTTTCTCTTCTTTTTAATATACACACTTTTCTCTTACTGGAACTACTTTATAACCTCTTCCTTTTATATATATATATATATATATATATATATATATATATATATATATATATATATATACCCCTTGTGCAAATTAATTGAAACAAAATGAATAATTTCATTATTATTTACTTTCCTTTTTTTTGTATTTTTCCAATGAAACATGACCCAGTGCACATGTTAGTATTCTGTACGTCCATTCCACAAAGTCATTCCTTGCAGATTAACCACAGATTCTCAATTGGATTTAAATCAGGAGAGTTTCCAGGCCAGTCTATAGTACTTTTATTTGCTCACTGGTTAGGCTTGCTAGTGTGTTCATGCCGCATGACAATTTTCATACTCTTCCTTGGAGTAATGTCCATCACAGACAATGGCCTTAGGACAACTAATCGACATTCAAGATAATAGTGTCTCAGCATGATAAAAATCTGATGCAATCACGGATGATGCAATATTCTTCAAGGCCAAACAAATTTCATCATACACCCCAAAATAGATTCATATTACTGCACACCACTGCAAATCTGAGGAAAAAATAAAAATTGATTACACTCTGTCACCTGACCGAATCGTAAAAGAAAGGAAACTAAAGTGGACTACTTGGATTACTTTTTGTGAAGTGGCTAATTGCAGCTTTGTTGTGGAGTAAATAAGACACCCCCGGTAACACAAATGAACTAGGCAAGATATTTTAAATAAAGAACTCAAGTGATTCAATAAAAATCCATTGAAATCAGTTGAAGAAAATTGCTAATGATATCACAGTGAGTAGTCCAAGTGAGACATTATAACTGCTAGGAGTGAGTTATAACAAGCTTGTAAGAAGGTTGACCATAAATCATATACATAGTCATTTCAATTTCAAATACTAATTTATTTTATAAACAAAATACAAGAAAAAATTCAGTTTAAAAATGGCCTTTAAGATTAACTATAACCTTATGCAATTTTATTAAATCCTGATTAACAAGAAAAAAAAACAAGTAATTAGCAAAAAAAAAAAAAAATAAAAGATAAGTGATGGATTTTTATTTATTAATCTGACAAATTTTATTACTTAAATGTTATTTTTAGTGGATGCCCATATTTGATCAGATGCTCCAATAAAATCAGTTGGTTTAATAAATACATTAGGATTTGAAACTAAGCAGATATGAATGTTTTGAAAGTCTGAGAATGATTTATGTTTATAAGATACTATTCTACTTTGCTTGATCATTGAAGAGACTCATAGCCAAGACAGTTTAAAGTATGTTGGATCTAATGATGGGTTTCACATGCCAAGGGGGACACGGGTCCACATCTTGCTGTACAGTACTTATTCTTTGTCAGTAAGATTTCTCAAATTTTTAGGCCGATAGATAAAAATAAATAAATATACTGTTTAATAAATAAATGGACAGTCTACTCAAATATGGGTATCTATTAAAAATAATGTTTAAGTAATAAAATACTGTCATATAAAAATCTTTATTTTCCCTTGAGATGAATATATGGTATGTTTTAATTATAGTTCAGAGAAATATTGTGACATTTTGTATAAGATGTAATATTTTTAGAATATTTTACATACATATTTTGCACAATTCATGGTTCTGGTCTGAGTTTGTCTTTTTTTTTCACCCTAAACAAGGCAATAAAGCCACTAAGGCACAATATGAGGTTACTGAATATTAAAGAATATGAGAAAAAACTATTAAAGAGAGAAAACTAATAAAAAAACAAGAATTAAGAAGACAACAACTGTCATTGCGTTTAAATTTTTAAAGATAAAAGTTGACTGGGAAGCAAGAAGCCAAAAGAGAGTTCCACAAGTGAGAAGTGCGATGAAAGAAAATGTTAGCATAGAACTTATGGCTACATCTAGTCAATTTACCTGTGAATTTATGAGACCTTGCTGCCAACCTAGCACTGCACTTAAATTCATAAAGTCTAGGTACCATAGAGGAAAGTTCATCAGAACAATTACCATGAAAGTATTTATAGAAAAGGCACAGCGAAACTATGTTATGGCAGTGAGAAAGGGACTGATGCCGAGATGCCAGGGCAGGACCAATAAGATTGCAGATTCTTCTTTGGATTTTTTCAAGAATCTCTAAATATATAGCAGGAGCACCAGACCAAATGTGGCAGCAGTATTCAAAGCAAGAGTGAAAATTTCTTATTGGGAAACTTCTATGTGTTCTTAGGCAGATAGAAAATATTTATTTATCTTTTATTGTCCTGATTCTGTTAATGCAATATTCACTCACAAAAAAATGGATTTTTCTTACAATCTAAAGTATGTTTCAGATTTAAATAACCCACAAAGGGTTGATAAGCTGTAAAAAACAAATCAATTTCTCCCGTTTCTCTTGCCTTCACTACATCTTGTGAGTGTTAAATTCTCCAGGTCATCTTTCCTCATTATGTTTTCTAGAAATTTTAGCTGTCTTTTAATAACTTAGGAAAACAACAATTTAACAACGATCTCAAGATATGAAAGCTGCACTTACTGTCTTTTTCTTCCTCAGTAAGATCTTGTAAACGTAAGATATGTCTTCTTGGAAGAAGCATTGTCTCGTATGGCCAAACTGCCCAAAATGGAACCAACCAAACCCAATGAGAATTGGCTAAAATAACTCTTTCCTGTAAAATGGAAAACAAAAAGAAGAAATATATATTACTATAAATGGTAGGTTTTAGTGGATACACGTGCTTGGCTTACTATCACTACTTTTTAATTTAAACAGTGAAACTAATAACAACTGACCTAGATCAGGAAGTCCTATAAATACAAAAACAAAAACTTATGCCTTCTGACAGGAATCGAACCTGTATCCCTTTTTCAACATTTAGATTACAGAAGCCATTTCCTTGATGGAAAAAGAGAAACAGGTACAATCATTCTTTAGTAAGACTTTCTCAATCTAGGCCAGTGGTTATTAATTTAATTGTTTAAGAAAATAAAAGTAACAGGGATAGTAACTCAAACCTACTAAAAATAACATTTATAGTAAAAAGAAATGAAGTTGGATTAAAACAATAAAATTTATATATATATATATATATATATACATATATATATATAAAAATATGATTCCATCACAACACAGAAATAAATAAATAAATATATATATGTCTACAGGCAAGTATATATGCATATACATATATTTTTTTTTATTATATATATATATATATATATATATATATATATATATATATATATAGGTATGAATGATTCATGTAATATATGTATAACTCTCCTGTCATCTTTTGGCATACAAGCGTCCAGCAGCTCTGTTCTGGGAACAGAATGACCAGACTACCTGTATATATGATTTGATTATAACTGAATACAGAGAACAAGCAGACAAGGTTTCAAAACAAACCTCCTTTGGTTTTGAATTCAAAGTTGTCCTTCTCCTCAATTGATTGCCAACCAAGCCTAAACTACTATCCTCGTTATTTTAAACATAAGTTAGATTCATGAATAATGGGTCTGTAGAAAATAGTGATATGATGTAATGTTTTAAGTAAGTATCTATAGTTGGTAGTAATTCTATGAATATAGTTTCAAAATATTTTCTCCTTAAAGGGTTATGCTTTTTTTTAAAAATTAGTCTGGCATTAGTGAAATCAAAGTTATGTCCCATGTCATTTCAATGCAAGACAAGAGATTTAGAATGTCTGTCTAAATGCAAGTCTCTCTTGTGTTCATATGTCTGGATTTTTAGATCACGTGATGTCTCCCCGATGTAAATGTTTTGCACTATAGACATTTTATTTGATAAATTCCAACATTTGAAATTATGTTTTGGTTTATTTCTCTTTCTATCCCCGACAGTCTTTGAGGTGGTGGTAACAATCCTGGTGTTAGGGATAGCTAATACATTAGCAAGTTTAATCGGTAGGGTGTTGGAGGGCAAGACTATGAATTTTCTGTAGGGAGTTTCAGTTTTTTTGGTTGTATGCATTTTGTGAGATTGTTTTTTAGCATTGACGATGAAATGGTGTGAATAGTTTGAACGTTATCTCAATATATTCCTCTTCTTCATTTAGGTATACAGGGCTACGTATTCTAAGGCTTGTGAGGTAAAAAGTCTATGATTAATCCATATTTTATTCTATGGTGGGAATAGAAATTGATTAGGTCGTTTTTGTTTTGTGAGTTTTTGGTAAGCTTTAAAATGTAATTTATCATTGTTGTGTATTAATAAGATGCCTTTGAAAAGTAGAGGGGTGTTTATTTCAAGTTTGTGTGTGAATTCAGTGTTGGGTTCAACCTTATTGAGTTTTGCTAATATGTTTAATAAGTTTTGTATCTTGAGGATAAAGTAAAAGGACATCATCTATGTACCTCAGGTAAGATATGTTTAAATGAGGTGGATTCTAAGAATTCAAGAAAGAGGCAAGCGAGAACACAACTGATAGGTGACCCCATGGGTAAAACAAATTTTTGTTTGTAGAAAATGTTATTGAAAGAAAAGTAAAAGTCGTCAGTAATTAATTTGCGTATCTTAATAATTTTGTAGAAGCTTTACCTTAGATTTTTTGAGTCGATTTCTTGTGGTTGCTTAATAATTTTTATTTTTCATGCATCAATTATTGTTTTGAAGTGGAGGGGGAAGGGTACAGTAATTAATATATTAATTATATGCAATATGTATTTATTGAAGATTGAACAAAATTTCATAATTTCATAATTGCCAAATATTATAGCAAGGATACATAAACAGTTTCAAAGCAATTCTCTGGGAAGGAACTCTTACCTTGTGTTCAAGTTCTCGGTTCACATAGTCAACTAACAAGGGAGAACCATGTTCCTTAAAGTAACTCTTTTGTGTTTTGTCTTTGACAGCTGGTTCATTTGGAATAAAAGAACTTGCCCACACCTGTGATGAATAGAAAACAAATTAGAATGTTAAAAAAATATATATATATATATATATATATATATATATATATATATATATATATATATATATATATAGAGCATAATGTATTTGGGAAAACATCAAGACCATAAGAAAAGCAACCACATCTTTACAAACAACTAAATCTATTGATGCAAAATTAATGAAAAATTAATTAAAATGTTAAAAATATAGATATACGGGGTGTGTAACATATTTGGAAACACCATGTTTATTTGATGTAACTACCTTCAGCCACAATGACAGCATCAATGCAGGACTGGAATCATTGCACACGTCACATGGTCTATATTGTTATTGGACATTACTTGAATAACAACTGCTTCCAGAAAATCAGTCATATTTTGGGAACCTTGATCTATTATCTATTCTATGATATATCTTTTATCTATTCTGAGATATAACATGTTATCATATTTATCATTCACATGGCCTGAATGTTAAATTTTGTTTTTTTTAAATGAGTTTAATGCATCAATATTATTTGAAAAAACAAAGAAAAATACCATATATACTTGCAAATCATGCAACCTTTGAATACCTAATTTTGAAGCTAATTTGACTACAGCAACAGCGTAGCCAGGGCCAGAAGTACATGCACTAGTTTTATATCTTGTGTATGATGCAACCCCCTTAAAATTAGCTCTTCAAAATTCGCATGATATAGGAGTATATATAACTGATTCATAGGTATAATTACAAAAGTTAAAAATTAAAAGAAACACCATACAGTTAGTCTGAAGTTGTTATGTAAATCGCATGAACTTCAATAACTCAAAAAGTCCACACGCAATATTTGTCAAACTAGTTTTACCCTTGTTAAAATCTCTAACAAAAGATTTAGCCACTTTTAATGATTATATTTTGTGATATTTGGAACTTTCAAAAATGGACTGACTGAAGTTATTATGTAGATCAAATTAATATTAATTTAAGGCCTCTGAAATCTAATAAAAACTATTTTTTTATCCTATATGTTGAAACATGGCTAATGGAAAGGATCTAACAACTGCTGAAAAACAGTATTGAATGAGAGAATTTCCATATTGGAGATATCAAAAGAGTTTTGCAGAGATCACCAAAACAAAGAGGGTTGTTGAAAATATAACTAAACTGAGAACTAGATGTAAGGAAAAAGGCTTTAAGAACTGGTCTCCTTGAGGGGAATGTAAGCTAAAGCGAGTTATAGCAAAACAACCACTTTTGACCAGTGCTCAGATCTTTGAACAGGCTGAGTCAAGCAGGTGAAAAAGTGTAGAATACTTTGCAAATTGGGATTTGTCAAGAAATCTCTTAAACTTCTTTCAGTAAAGCGTCAAAATTGGGCCAAGAAATACATGAAAACTGACATATCCAAAGTAATTTTTACAGACAACTCTTGGCTGATATTTGATGTAGATGTGTCTGTAGCTAAAAGGGGGTGGCAGTGTAATGATATGAACTGAAATTGTTGACCAAACCATTATCTGATAATTCAAAGTTGACAAAGAAGTTAAACTGAACAGTGCTGTGATTTTATGGACAAGATTTTCTTTTAATGGTACAAGTCCCAACCTCACAGTTTCAAAGGGAAATGTATATTTTTGCATAACAATGTTCCTTCTCATGTATCTAAGGTTACCTGTGAATTTTTGGAGCATGAAATGTTTACAGGAGATAAGATAATGGAATGGCCACCATCAAGTCCAGATTTGAAACCGATTGAAATCTATGGCCAATTTTGAAGATGAAATCATATGAAGGTAGCAAACAATATGGCCAACAAAGCAGAACTATGAGAAGAAATTAAAACCACCATGTCAGAAATTGAATCAGCTCTAGTAAAAAAATTAACAAAATCAATGGATAATAGACTGCTGACTGTTATTGAGAAGAAGAGTCATTATATTAAAATGTAAAGGATTCAAAGATTTATCTTATGTGTTTGTTATTTGTTCTATTATATGTGTTGGTCAATTGTTGATTTTATTATTTTGTTATTGAAGTAAAATGTGATTATTTCGTTTTGTCTAATAACTTCAGATGGCAGTTTTTATAATAAATCCAATAACTTTAATAAAACATGTTGAAACTACCTAAAAATTTAACTCAAGCTTTGTTTTGATTTTTAAATTAATCATTTAAAATTTGTTCAAAAATTTTCTCAAAACTAATTTTAGTTATTAAAGTTCATGTGATCTGCATAATAACTTATGATGGACTGGATGATTTCAATGTCAATTTTCACAGGTATAAAATAAATTTAAAAAACAATTGTCTACTTTTTTAAAAATTTACACATGCACAGTTTTTCATCAATTAGGAATTTATAAAAATTAAAATGGCAAACAGATTTCATAATTATTTGGAAAAAATTTACTTGGACAGCTTCTGCACACACTAAATTTAAAAAAGAAATGAAGTTTTGTCAGCAAGAAAAATACAATCAAAAATCTGTTTTATTTTACTTTTGTTTGACCCATTTTTAAATTAAGGTACATTTTAGATTAGTCATTTTTTACCACTTCCTGTTTGAGTCCATAGTAACTACTGGAACGAGCACAATAAAGTAGAGGGTCAAATCAAACATAAAACAGACTGTCGCCCTTCAATGTTGACCTCAGTGTCCACATTGAATATATATATTTTTAACATTTTTAAAGTGTGAAAAGCCTTGGTTGTTTGATATCATATTATCCTTAGAACATTTCTTTATGAAAGTAATTTTTTTGATACATATATTTTATGAAGGGGAGGGGAAGTGTAAAAATCCAAATGTTGGTTATAATTATGTATACATGTGGAAAAATGGGAAAATAACAACAAAAAAAACATCCTCATATATACAGAATTATTTCAATGGGTCTATTATGGTGAAAGAAGTAACTTATATTTTACTAAAGATTCTCAAATTTTATGAAAGTCCTTTTCTAACAAACCAAATTTGGCTTTCATTCTGGTCAACGCAGCAAAACAGCTTCTCTGCTATCAAAAAGCTGCATGACATGGCATATTTATTGGACAGAAAGTTGATAGCTCAGTAAAGACACCAAATCACATCAACAGAGACTTCTTTATAGTCCACTGGTCAATCCATTCTGCATGCCAGATGGATGTGAATGCCAAGATGGCAGAACACAAAATAAAAAGTTGTTTTCTGCTTCAGAATCATGCCTGGTCCATGGAGCAAGCACCTTACATGAAATTTCAGTGACTAATTGTCCATTCTTGCTGGAAAAGGTGATGATCCTGAGGATTATAGATATTCATAAAAGCAAATCTCCATAACAACCAGCAGCAGTCGCTGGCCAAAATTGATAATGCAGATAAGCAGAGCACCCTTTTGTCATATTTCTTCTTTCTATTCCTTTTATCTTTTTTAATCTTTTTGATATCCGCAAAAACTAGAATCAAGGCTGACAATTATTTCTTGTATTTAGGCTTTTGACATTCACTCTTTTGGTTTTAACATCACCTGTTGATAAACAAGACTTTCAGAGTTTTGACACCATCAATGCTCCTAACAACATTGTCCAAGATTATTTATTGGGATTGTCAGCACCCAGCTAAAACTTGTAATTTCCTTTTATTTAATTATTTAGGTCAAATTTTACTTCAGATTAATTAAAAAAAAAACAGTGAGGATTTTCAAAGTTCTATTTATCATATTACTTTACAGCATTTGAGTATTTTGGCATGGTGTTTGGTTTTTACAGGCATATCCCTCACAGGGAAAGAATACCAACACTTTTTTTTTTCCTGGCCAATCCCTTTTGTTTTGTCAAAAAACAAAAACCCAACCATGATTTTTATCAGAAATGTACATATGGTAAGACCCAACCAAAAACTGTCCTGTGACCTTGGTCAAACCATATTTTTTTTTTCAAAAACACTACTTAACACTTAATCAGTTTTTTCTTATTCAAAAATTTATTGACATTTTCTCCAATTTTTATAACTGTATTTCTTGTATATAAAATGAATTACACTTTCATAATCCTTTTTACCTCAGTTTCAATTCATAACTATTTGTCCATTATAACACCCTTTTGGTGTTACCACCCTTATCAGGGGTGACCTGCTCTGACCAGCAGTCAATTGGTTCCACAGTATTGATAAATTCCTATATATGATGACCCAAACTTATCATTTTAAACAAATCAGGAATGTGACAAAAGAAATTTAGAGGACCAATTTGTTTAATTTCACCCAAAACTTGTGTGCATACATCAAGCACAGATTGAAAAAAATGAACTTTGATCCTTAAACATTCCCTATCAAATACTTTTGGCCTTGTGCTAATAGAAAACAGTATTTGTGTTTGCAAATGATCCAGATGCCAGTGTAGCTAGACAATTAAACTGGGGCTGATAACAAGATGCACTAAGAGGGTATAAGGATGATCTTGAATAAAAAAAAAAAAATCAAAATTCTTTAACAAATGGTTTCAGAAATAAGTCATAAGCCTTTGAAAACAGAAACTATCTAGAATTGAGCCTGAGTAATGACGACACATACCAGAAAATTCATAATGTTTAGAAAATCAATTAACCTTTGATGTACAACGATGTTATAAATCATCTAGCAAATCCAATATTGGCAATAATGAAATTGATCATTGACTAGGTGCTCCCAGGTTTTTAAGCTGCCACATCATAAAATGCTAGAAAACCAAAATATTAACCTGAAAAACTCAATTCACATTCTTAAAACAATCCACAGATTGAGTTCAATCCTCACTGTATGCCATGTACAGCATACCTTGTACAGAAATCTAAACTATTATCTATATACAAATGTTTTCTTGGATCAATGATTTGAAATTTTCATCTCCAAATAGGACATTTAAACATTTATTTGTAATAAAATAGGGTTGCTTTATATAAAAACATAATTGTCAAAAATGGATTAAAAGTGATCCTGTAAAGAAATAAATAGTTTATAGGCTGTCACATTGATCTGGGACAGCAAATGTATCCTCATAGTCACATGGCAATGGTCCAGAGGATATAGTCAAAGTGATATTACTTTCTAAGTCACTGAAATAAAGATTTTTGACATTCCAATCAATACTGGCCAGGAGCAAGGGAGTCTGTTTTCCTTTTATTTTTTTCAGAAAAGTGTTCTCTAGATTTTCAAACAAAGCTAGCACTTTTAACTGCCCAGTCAATGAATGTCTAATATTTCTTGAACACCAAATGGCCAATTTTATCCTCCACAGAACAATCTTATACTGTATATTTTGTGATTACACTAACACAAACTGAAAAACAATGCAGCAGAAGAATTTGTCATTGGACGTCAAATTATTTCAAATTTAGGGAGAATGGTTGAAATCACATTCAAAAATTCAATAATACCAAAAATAAATATGAATTCAAAAGAAAAAAAAATTCTGGATTAAAACAGTAATTGTAGGCTCCAGTAAAGTATAAAAAAATATAAATAATTATTGACAAGGTTATCATTTGTATATTTTTATATTATATTGTACTAATATAGTACAGGGTATAAATTGGAGGATGAGAGTTATCACTGAAAGTGTTTATATCAAATTTATATATATATATATAACCCTATATATTTTTTTTTTTAAATTAATATTTATATCATATAAAATTTGGTGAGGCATGAAAAAATATTTATTAAAAAATTCACAGAGAAAAACATTTGGGAACTACTACCACTAACATATCATAGTTTTTAATTTTTCTTTATTGTTTTTTGTATGATAGCTTTGAAAGGTTCACAACAAATGTTTTTAATACATTCAGTCTCCATACACTTTGGAAATAGTCCAAATTTTTGGGTAGCAAATATCTCTAACATACAGTTAGGTGGAAAAAGTTAAGATGCCTGTATATATATATATATATTATATAAATAATATATAACCTTCCCTTACATTTATCTACATTTATATATACAAAAATATTAATAAAAATATATAACAGAAAAATATATATATAATAAAAATGAGTATTATTTATTATCTGGTTGTTATATAATTGATTCACACACACTGCTTGTCTATATATATAAATACATTGTCACATATACATACACTGCTTGTCTGATATGATAATGTCACAAAATTTTCATTGATTCACATGTTATATATTGTCTGATGACACACAATGTCACAAAATGATCTCACACACATTCACATGTTGACTGCTTGTCACATGACAAAATTTTCATTGACACACATGTATATATCTGATGAGGAAAAACACACACATATATATATATAGGAAAAACATTCACATTAGTTTAGAAAGATAATTAAAGATAATTATATTTTTTTATAATTATTTTGATGCTATAATTAATTTATATTTATTTATTTTTTTTATATATGATTTTTTTTATTTATGTATTTCTTTATGGAAAATTCCATGGAAACTTTTTATTTTTGAACATAGTTAAACATATAGACATTTGATTTTTGTTTAATTTGTTTAGAGATGAAAATAATTGTTGTAATCTAAAAAAGGTTACTGAATAAGAATAACCAAAACAAAGGTTGTAAATGGAACGATAATATTTATAACTGGAACAACATACAAGATTCACCAGTGGTGTGTAGTAAATAATCAATTGCTAGTGGTGAGCTAAAAGTGAATCAACGTGAATCCCAAGTGGAAAACAACATATAGTATATACCACTGTATTTATAGGAATTGGGATATACCCATTATCTTCCATAGGTATCCTATAACACTTATCTTAGCTGACAAGTTTCATCCTCTAATGGACTTGGGGCAAATGTAAGGGTTTTATTTTGTAACAAGTATTTACAGGTATACCTAACTTAATGGTGTCAATTGGTTCCAGAGGTCACGGCTTAGATCGAAAAATGACTTAAGTTGAAATAACCACACTATAAACTGCAAATAAGCACTCCACGTTGCATATTACAGTCTTTATAATATATGTACGTACAGTATTCTGAATAAAATAATTTATCAGTGATATAGCCTTATGCTTAGCATTAGCAATGGAAGAATGGTCTGGCAATTTTTTCCAATATAATCCAGTTTTGTCAACATTAAAAATGTGTCCAGGAAGAAACTCATTTTCTTTGATGATCTTAGCCGATGCTTTAGGAAAATCAGCTGCCTTTCCCTATTCCCCTCTCCACTTTTGACCTTGGACAACATTTTTGTATTATAACAAAATAAATATTACTTTCTTCTATAGTACCTAGACTTTATGAAGTACAGTACTAGATTGGTAGCAAGGTCTCATCATTTTACAACTGAAATGGTTAACCCTAAATTCTATTCTAAGAGTTTCTTCCATCACACTTTTTGTTGTAGAACTCTCTTTCAGGTTCTTGCTTCCCAGTCAACTTTGATCTACACAAATGCAATGTCAATCGTTATCTTCCATCTTCTTAATTCTTCTTTTATTGTCCTCTCTAATTAATTGTATATTTTTCTCATATTTTCTCACACTCAGTAAACCTTTGTGTCTTAGTGGCTTTATTGCCTTGCTTAGGGTGAAATGATTAAAAACAATCATCAACTGCTTCGACAGTTTTCATGCAAAAATACAATTAACTCTATCAAAACCCACATAAATCACAAGGGCACAGTTCAAGACATTTGCTATAATTTGAAGAAAAGACAATCAATTATTCCAGACTTTACCTGGCAATGTGGATGAGGATTTGAACAACCCATCATTGCACCTTTATTTTCAAATATCTGGAAAGAAAGGAAACAAAATAACATTTAAAAGTATTATTCAGATATTATTAGAGATTATAGAACAAAAGTTCAAACAAATATTAAGCAAGAATATCAAAATATATACATTACAGTTTGAAAGTTTGAGGTTACCCCTGGTAATTTTTTAAATTGACCCCCACAAGTAGTTGTTTTGTACTTTAAATAAGAGAAAATCATTATACAGTGTTAAAACAAGTGAGACATTTTATTATGACAAAAAGAAAAAAAGCATTTTATGATTAAATTTGGCTCTCATCAAAATATCCTCCTTTAGCCTTGATTACTGCAACACAAAATTTTGGTATTTACCAGTAAAAGGACAATATGGATAAAGACAAAAGGAAAACTTATCTTAGCTGACACTTTTCATCCTCTGAGGAACTTTATCAAGGCACATGTCATCTAAGATAAATTTTCCTTTTGTCCATTCATAAACCATTAGATATGGCTATGATAAAAAATATACATATATACACACACATACTTGCATGTACCTATATATATATATATATTTCTTTCTCAGGTGTTATAAATACAGTGCTCAAGGTTATATAACAGAGATATTAAGTATATGTTAGTGAATATACATAATATCCATCACGACTCAGAGTTTCATGCAAATCTGCAATCTTCAGGTGCCAGATAGATTCTGATTGTTATGAGATTCAAGTTCTAATATATCTAATGTGTTTGGAACCTAGCCGTATGCTTACAAAGATGAAATTACATATACACACATTGAAGAAAAATATATATGGAAAAAAACAAACAAAAATCCTTATATGCAATTATGCTGTTTTAATGCAATGTCCAAAAAATATTGTCGCCTGTGTAATGTGAAAATTTGTAAAAAAAATAAAAGTACTTCTAATTTGAATTCTGCTTTTCCATTTGTAGTATTGAAACAGTTTTTAAATGTTTTAAATGTTATTGCCATTACACTAAAACAGTACAGACTGCCTGTGCTACCTAAAACTTGAAAAAATAAAGTGTCTGAAAAATAGTGTTGGACCCTGTAGTTGTTTTTTAAACACCAAACATATTTTGAAAGTGTTGTGCAGTTTTTGCATTTGATATTGTTCAGTGTCATTTTGTGGTGGTAAAAATATGATTCCCAGCTGTTCTCAGTGGATACAAAGTAATATTTAACATAATCATCTGAATTGATCCTAGCTCTGTATATTATCCCTTCAGTCATGCACTGGACAATCAACTGGGCAGATTACGTTTTTATGGCAGTTGCATTGACTTTTAGTAGAATTATTATTTAATTTTTTGTTTGTGTGTGTTGTGAAGTCAAAGTTTAGCACTAGTCAGTTGCTAAGCTTGTCTTTGTCCTACGTTATTCACAGTAACGAGTCATATAGGTTTTCTCTTGCACTTATGCAAATTAAGCATATTAATTTGCCAGTATCACTACATCTCCCTGAAATGTATAGGTTTTATGCCTCTAGTAGTTCTTGTACTTCTCATGATAGTTTCATTACTTTGCTCTACTTTTCTCTCTCCTGTATTTCTTTTTCTGGGAGACTTAGATCTGTCCCGTGCTAAGCTGTAATCATAGGCATCTTCTTGCATTATTTGATCTTCATCCGAACTTTCAAACTCATTCTAGCCCACTTGATTGTGCATTATTTCATCTTCTGATGTTTCATTCTGTAACGGTTGTTCTAATAAATCATTAACGGATGGAATCGTAGACATTTCTTCATTTTGCTCTTCATATTCACCCCGGGTCCTTATTTGATCTGCATCGGCTAATACACTGTTGCCGTTTTCTCTATTTATTATAGCTGTATTATGGCCATTTTGCATGATAAATTCTGCCCTTTCTGGATTTGCTTCTTTTTGTACCACATTTTTTCATTTGTGGAATACGACATCGTTAGCGGAGCTCTAATTTGTCTTCCCATTAAAGCTGACGGCTTAGTTTTCCAGCGTAGGTATTAAAAGCGATAGCTTAAAAAGCAGCATCGTAGAAAACTTTTTTCTTTTTGTTGAGAGTATGCTTTTTAGTCCTGTTTTTACGGGTCTGCACCATTCATTCTACAACCTGCTCAACTGAGGGTGATATGGAGATGTTTACGTGTTTACATCCTATTTTTTCTAACCATAAAATTATGGTGTTGTCAGATACCAGGGTTTTGGTATGCGTTTCTGGAAAATATGACCCTTAGAATCTGTTTTATCGTAGAACCTTTTCTTGTCTGGCACCCGGATTATTTCAGGCCAGCCTGAAAAGAGTCTACTAGAATTAATAAGAGTCCCACCCAGTAATATACGCATGATTCATATGCACCTGATTCCATGGCTCCACTTCTCTGGGCCACTGAATGTAAAGTAGTCTGTGTAAAGTTTCTTAATTCTTTACATTTTTTGCACCTTTTATATATTCTTCTACATCTCTTGAATATCCCGCCACCATGCTTCTAATTTTTTATCCTTTTGTGTGGCCATTACTCCACAGTGTATATCATCATGTACACTTTTTTATTACCAATTTTTTTTTGTATTTCTGGGAACCAATAGATCCCCATTAAAATCACTCCATGTTTTATCGTTAATTTTTTGTCTTATTTCTTTGTAGGGTCTTTCCGCCTTTAGAACAATTTCCCATGAGTTTTTTCTTATTCTCAATATTATCCTACTTAGTACTGGATCATGTCTAGTTTCCACAGCCATTCTATCTAAGACAAAACATCAGTCTCTACCCAATGTAAGAATGCATCTTCAAATTCTTCTGTTTTATCTTTTGACTCCTTGTAAAATCGCAATCTTGATAGTGCATCTACATGTGGAATTGAATTTCCTTTGACATATTCTATATCAAAGTCAAATGCCATCAATCTTATTGCCCATCTTAGTATCCTCGATGTCGTGACTTTGGGTAATTCTTTTCTTGGGTTAAATATAAACTCTAATGGTCTATGATCACTTCTTAACAGAAATTTTTTCCCGATTAAAAATTGTCGGGTTCTAGTAGTTGTCCGCACAATAGCCAACGCTTCTTTTTCTATATTAGAATAATTAAATTCGGTGTTCATTAGTCTTCTTGATAAGTAAATTATCAGATGTCCTTCTTGTGATAATATTCCCGATATCAAATGTTCACTTGCATCTGTGGTTAACGTAATGTCCTTTTTTGGATCAAACTTTTCACTACTGGCTTCTTTGCCATAATTACTTTTAATCTATCAAAAAAGCTTTTGTTGTTCCTCTGACCACATAAATTCAACATTCTTTTTCTTAAATTTGCAAACAGTTCAGTCCTGTAAAATTCACCAATCCCCAAAAGATTCCATTTTTTTATTTGTAGGTGTAAAGTACTTTTAGCATTTTTTCTATCAAGGCTTGGTCTGGTGATATACCTTCTTTTGAAATGGAATAACCTAAAAAAGATATTTTACTACAATTACTTTGTACATTTTCTTGTTTATTGTCATTTCCAGCATTTCTTAATATATTCAAGATTATGTCGGTTTTTTTTTTAATTCATTTTCATTAGTAGCTCCTATGCATATATCATCTTGGTAACAAATCATATTTTCCATATTTTCTCTAAAACCTGTTCAGTGGCCCTTTGAAATATGGCGCTTATGGTTTTTATTCCGTATGGCATCCTTTTTCCATCTCATTAACCCTATTGGCATAGTTATTGTGGTTACTTTTTGAAGTTATCGTCTATTGGTATTTGGTGGTATACCGTTTTAAATCTATTTTTGTAAAACTCTCATTCTGCCAGTGCAATGCAACTTCAACATTCGGTATTGGATATGAACTGAACAAACTTTGTGATTTACACCTTTTTGTAATCTCCACAAATTAAATTCTGTCTTCCTCAAAACTACAATAATGCTCACTTGCTACCCCCAGAGGGAACATGTTCCAAGAAAAGGTCATGTTCTATTAATTTCGTTTGTTTTGTTACTACTAATAACAACAAATGTACTGGTAATTTTTAATGCTCATAATAAGAGACATTTTATTTTAATTTTAAACTCGCTTTATGTTTTTAACTTTCCGGTTTTTTCCTTTTTATTTCATTAATTAATTTGGTAGAATTTATGTTAAGCACGTTTTTAAGAAGTCCGTGGTTCTTTTTACAACTTGTGACAATTATAGGTATTAGTTCAAATTTATCTTCTAACTCAAGGAATCTTCAAAGTATCCTAAAGTTTTTAGGACCCAACCCATCAAATTGGCGGAGTTGTAAACTGCTCTTTTGTAAAGGTGGCTTTCCAATGCGTTCCCAAAAATTTCTTGCTATCAGCGTTACTTCACTCGCAGTATCAATTTGCATATCTAAATTGCAGTTGTTGATTTTAACCTTTAATATAATGTCTTTTTTCTTTTGTTCAATTTTTTCTATATTCTTATTTTTTAATGTGAAGATTTCCATATTGGTTTTGTTTTCTTCAACTCTTTCAATGTTTTTCTTTTTGAATTTGCATACTGCTTGAAAGTGGTTCTTTTTTAAGCAATTTGTACAGGTTTTTCCAAATGCTGGGTATTTTTCCCTTTTTATTTCGTGTTCACATCCACAATACGAACATTTTCTTATCTTTTTTAACATGTATCTATCAGCGAATATTTGTTCACTGGGTTGACTTTTATGATGGTTGTATTTCTGTATTAATTCTTGTTGCTGTATAAAGTCAATACATGTATTTAAAGACATATTTCCTATTTGTAATTGTTCCATTATTTTATATCGGTGTGATGCATTGGACATACCTTCAATTAACCTTAACTGAATCAAGTCCTCTTCAATAGTCTGTTCGTCTTGCCGAGTTTTTCAAATTCGCAATATCTACTCGCATTTCATAGACAGTGTAGATATTTTATAATTGGTTCGTCAATTTCTTGTTTCATCGACATGAATTTCGTTCTTTCTGTCACTACCAGCCTTTTCTTGGGTCTCATATTTCTCCTTATAATCTGACTTATTTTTTCGAAAGTCAGGTCTTCCAAGTTTGTGGGATATGCCATGGTGGAGACCCCTT